ACCGATTGCTGAAAATTGGCAATAACAACAAAACACACGTTATGTATGTACATTTAGTGCAGGGTATAATAAAAGCGGTGTCACCTACACAATGTGTTGCCGAAACTTTTTCAGCAAAAGTAGCAAAACCGAAGGCTGAAAGTAGCTAAAAGTAGCCAACTTTCTTCTAAAATAGCTAAAAAAAATAGCGAAAAAGAAAACAGTGCTGTTTTTTTTTTTTTTTTCATAAAAAGTCAACTTTATTAATTTAATTCTGATAATATCTCATCTATGACCACCAACTCGTCATTTTCACCATTGTCGCTTCTATAATTTGCCTTTTTTTAAGGTAGTTGGGTGGACTCATCGACTCAGCTCATCGTGCTGATCAAGAATATATATACTTTATGGGCTCTGCGATGATTCCTTCTACCCGTTACATACTTTTTCACAAAACCATTATACCCAGATTTCCCATTTTCAATGGGTTCAGGGTATAAAAACGGATAAGAATTGAATTTTGCATAACATTTTAGAAAGCTTACCTATTCTTCAGTTGTAGTATTAATTCTACACAAAACTCAGTACATTTAAATCATTTACATTTAAAAAGTATCGAAGCCAATTTTGCTACAAGTTCGCTGGCATTTTAGCTAAATGTAATATTTGAAAATAGCCAGATTTGTAGCTAACAGCTGTTTGAAAATTTGTGTAGCAATCGGCTTTAAAAGGTAGCCAGATCTAGCTACAAAATAGCTGATTCGGCAACACTGCTACACATACATAGTCCATGATAAGAGAGCTCTATACATGTTGTGTGTATGTGCATATGTATATGCATGTGTGCTTACTCTGTTGCAGTTTGTTTGTGGTAAATGTCAACGCTTGCGTTTGGCTTTGCATTTGCATTTGCTTTTTGTCGTCGTCGCTTTCCCTTTTCCTTTGGTTCGCATTTGAAGGTCAGCCGTTTATACTTTAGCTATTTACACACACTCACACACACAGAGACACTTTTTTTTTTTTCAACTGTATCTAATTATAGCATTTTGTTTGGATTCATTTGCAGGCAACTTTCCCGTGCGCAAAGCTTACAAAGGAGATTCGAGAGTGCCAAAACGTAAAATTAATCAGATCAGCAGCGACCACGTTGAGGCTGATAGCCATAATAGCGAAATTGGGCCAATTGGGGAGAAGAGGATGTGCAAAGGGTGTAGGAACAATAACTGCAATAATTGATATTTATTACATATTTTTTTTATTATTATTTAACTTATGTTTTTTTATATGTGTATATTTTTGTTTAAACAAAACCAAGACTTAACAGTACATTTAGTGGGCTTCAAATACGACAGCACACCAACACGCACACTCAAAAAAAAAAAAAAAAAAAAAAAACATTACAAATTAATTACTAATAACAAACCCCCAATTTCAAAGCGTTCTCAGCGTGTTTCCGGCTTCTGCTGCACGCGTGTGCCGAAAGTATTTACAGTTTGTCATGATCTCAATAAAAAATTGTACATTATTTTGTCTAAATGTAATTTATTAATTGAAATTATTTAAAGCAAACGAACTACAGAGACTATTTTGACTATTTTATTATTATTATTCTCTGTTAATTGTGTATAATATGTTAATTCGCATTACGGTAAACAAAATTGTAAGCTCTACTAAAGACGAACTGTCACATTGTTATTGACATTCTTTAGGGGAGACAAAATCTTAAAGTAGAAAAAACAAAAACAAAAAACAAAAACAACACAAACTGTGCATATTTCCTTAAATGAAACTAAATATTGTATAACCTACACAACACACTACAAAACAACTGTATAATGTACTTTTTAGCAAAAAGTTAAAAATCTTGAAAAAAAAAAATAAATAAATACAAGAAAAAAGATACAAAATTCAAATGTAAAAAATATTTTAAAGCTTTTTATTTCTCTATGGGGAGGGAGGGCGCTCTTGATAGCGTGATTCGTGTGAAACGAAATGAGAAAAGTGAGTGCCTAAGTGGAGGGAAAACGAAAATGAGTCAGCGAAACTTTCGAATGCTTGTATGAAGCGGTTTTAAGCAAGGGCAACTGTTTGCTACAGTGAAATACCGCTCCAATATACTTCATAGCATGGTTTTGGAAATAGAAAACTGTATGGCCTACAGATTCATATCTGGTTTCTGTTCAGATAGATGTATATTATAGATGTATATTATGTAAGTATACTTGTTTAATTAGTTCCTTCTTTTTATGCTTACAAATTAAGATATTTAAACATATACATACATTTTTAACTGTGTTTCTCATGTCGAAGCTCTACTGTACGGCGTTTTATATACATGTGTATTTCTGTGTGTGCCACATTGTATCCAACGCTGCCTGCAGACATTTGAGAAAATGCTTTCCAGTTGTAATGAATGTGTAGCCCGTGGAGTGGGCACTTAACATTAGATTGGCTGTCACTTCCGGCAGGCCTTAGGCAAACTACGACGTCAGCGTCGGCATCGGCATCGGCGTCAGCGTCGGTGTCGGCGACGGCATCGGCTTGATGAAGATTGATGCTGCCTGAAGAGCGGCCACTCAGTTGGCGGCCCATGCGCCCAACGCTCTCATAGACATATACATACATACATATATGAGCGTGCATGTGTGCTTCAATTCGAGGCTGTGTGCATTTACATACATACACACATTCATATGTGTATATGCGCATTTGGAATCTAAGCTGCGCAACAGTAACTATTTGAGTTCAATTGGAAGTGAATGCATGTATGTTTGTATTTATCCACATATGTATGCGTATATATGTATGTACATAAAAATGTATCTATGGCTATTCGTATGTCTTTATGTAATAATGGCATTTCGCAAAACTAAATTACATGCTGTGCATTTAGTAACAAGCAACAAGTCCAACATACTATTTGCCCACTTATGGAAGTAGCTTGCAAGGGGTATGGTTATTAGCATGTAATTTCAAGATTTTTAATGCTGGCATTCGCATTCGCAATGCAGTCACACATGCGCATGCTCACACGCATGCACGCTCGCACGCATATAGTCATAGAAGCTATTGAGAGGGAGAGAGAGAGCGTGAAAGACGGAGACAGAGAGCAGCAGAGAGTGAAGGACCGAGCGAACAGTCGCGCAGGCCGCATTTTCGCCTGCACCTTTTTGCATTTCGCCTCGCTATAAAAGCAAAGCACACACAAAACAAACAACAACAATTTATGACACAGCCAGCTTTTTTCACTATGCCGTAACGGTAAAGCCTCTGGTGCCATAAAACTTGTGCAGCTACAGTCGCACAAAGCACACGGATACACACGCACACACTCACACACACACACACGCACATTCGCTGTTTTGTCGTTTTTTTATTTCGCGGCTTTCACATATTTGCAACGGCGCTCAGAAAACGGGAACTATAAAAAGAAATCGCAATAAATTATAGCAAATAGTGGAAAGGGGAAAAATGTAATAGCGTTGCGTTTTCATTAATCATCATTAATGTCAGAGATCATTCAGAGAGTGCAATGGCTGGAAAAGCGTGAAAAGCAAGCCAAGGCCGTGAATCACTAGCACACACTCACACATGCACATGCACATGCATACACATGCACGCATACACACTGTCCTCACAATAAAAATCAATCAACCCTGCTGCAAGCTGCCTGCTTTTATGGCACCACCCATTCACCTAGCAACAGCACGTATCACTCTCCTTCTCTCTTTCTTTCCGCCTCTCTTTCGCATTTTGAGGCTGCGTGTCTGCCTTTGGACGTGAGGTCACGCTGAGCAATTGGCAGCCCTCGGTTTGCTCTAATCTGCTGACCAAGTTGTGGCCAGCCGCTTCGCATAATTTCCTTTGGTTTGGCCTGGTCTGGTCCGGCCCGGGCCGGGGCTGGCTTTCGCAATTTTAAAGCTGAAGCCAAAACCAAAACCAAGGTGACCCAAGCTGAGCTGAGCTGACTTGAGTTGAGCCAAGCCAATTTGCGCAAAATGAACAGCAAACATAACATGCAAAGCACTTTTGGTTTCCAGTGCTCATTTCGTGATTGTTCCCACAATTTTCGTACAATGCTGGAAAATGTACGTGCCTCGTACGTTGTCCCCTAGCCTCGCATTGTTCACTCTCCTCTTGTTGTTACTGTAATTACCTAAAAAAAAAACATATATACCTAAAAAATTTATAAAAAAAACAACAATGAGAAAATTCTTTTCAAATGGCACTCAATGGCAGGGGCGCTGTCTGAGGTAAGCAGCTTGAGAGATCTCTCCGATCTGGACGCAAATCACTGAACGCTGTAATCGTGCACAGACATATACAATTTTTAGGAGTAGGAGAGAAGATGTAGCATAAAAGATATGCCAGAGGATCACGTACACGCATCCCATGAAATGGGGGCGTCATTTACATGGGGGAGCTTAGACCGTCAGCTCACAGCACAACAACAATAACACCAGGCAGGATCGTGAGCGTGTGAATCGAAAACCAATGGGGGAACAGCCAAGCTAAATGTTCAACTCTAGTCAGGTGCATACGTACATACTTATATATGTCTACGATATCTATTATTAAATGTCTTCTATAGAGTACATGTAACATAGCTTCCTAATCGAGTACATGTTTGATTCAGTACTCTTCAAGTATACCACATTATAATTATATATTGTATGTATGTACCTGCGTCGAGCTTTAAATTGGGTAGGTCTATTGTATATAACTAATTGGTTAATTTGTCATTGCTTAATTCTTAAATTAGTCCTAATTTTAGATTAATAGTAATAGTAAAATAGTAAAATTTAGAGAAATCGGGGTTAAGTTCGGTTTATAGTAAAAAATAATTTTGAACTCCCAAGTTTAAACGGATTAGCTTGGGTAACTAATATTTTCAGATAAAAATTTAAGGTACAAATTATTATTTTTTAGAAGCTTGGGACAACCGTGGCCAAAGTTTTTGGGAAGAGCATTTAGTTCTGATGGTATAATGACATGAAACCAATCATTAAAATTGTTTTGCGCGCTCTGGATTGATTTAGGTGATTTAAATATTATACAAAAATACTATAAATATTGAATATGTTTAATACTAGTAGAGACTTTAGCATATTCCACATCAACAAATCTTTGAATGATAAGATAGAGTGCAGAGATTAGAGATAGAGTTTGCCGTGTTTGGTAATAAGTATAAGTTTGGATACATAAGCTTAAAGTGATATGGAATGTGTCAATATTGTAAATATTTTGATCGTATCAATGAATATGCAATGCAGATATTAGCTCTAAATTCAATTATCGTAATACAAACCATTTTCAATAGCTATGAAATTATTTCCAATAACAACAAAACGCACTGGAGTCCGCAGCCTTATCAAAATATTATTCCTACTTGCCATTAGCTTAATGAACCCTCAAGATAAGTGGACATATGTAGACCGACCTTGACCAAGCAGTCAGTCATACATACACAGACTCATACACATATAAATGTATGTATGTATATGTATGTGTGTGTATGACTGTGCATGGGCTTATAAATATTGCCAGGCACTGCAACATTACAACATTCCGCAAATTCCCTCGCTTAGTCATGTTCGGTCGGCGTCGCCAGCTGAGCGCCTCCTCGCTCTCCGCGAGCATCTTGCATGTAGGTTTTCGTTATGCCACATTTCTGGGAATCATCTGTTTTGGCATCGAGGGCAATCGCACCGATGGCTGCCTGGTCGCCCAGAACCGCTTCTGGTATAAGCGGTTCTGTCTGCTAACACGTTTGCTAATATGCGTCATTTATGGCTATCTGAGTCTGGATTACATCTTCATTCTGGATAACTCCCATTTGATTATACTGTCCTGGATTCGGTTGGTGTGCTGCCTGATCTGTGCCTTTGTCACTCTGACATTGCAATTCTGGTTTGGGCAACATGTGCTCCGAGTGGTCAACAGTTATTTGAGGCTATTTCGCAAGGTCAACGCGCTGCCCGGCAGCCAGGCGAGCGGCTTTGGCGGTAGGCGGGAGTTGAGTTTGTTGATCTTCAAGATGATTTGCCTCATGAACGAAGTGTTCTGCGAAATTCCGGAATTGTTCAACGGCTTAAATATGCGACTCTTTGTAACCATACTGTGTGAACTATACGTTAACACCAATGCCACCATGATCGGTCACCTCTGCTTTGTGGGCTACCTCAGCGTGGGCGCCCTCTACGCCCGGGTCAATCATTACGTGCGGCACGAGCTGCGACGCCAGCTGCAAGGACTGGAGCAGCTCAATGGCAGTGAAGTGAGTCGACGACAGCTAAGGGCCGCTGGCTGCCGACTGGACCAGTGTCTGGCCATCTACGATGATATCCAGCGGGTGGGCAGCGCGTTTCATCGGCTGATGGAGCTACCGCTATGCCTCATACTGCTCTTCGCCTTCTTGAGCATGACATTGGTGTCCTACTTCATCATGCTGCAGCGATTTCGTAATGTGGGGCTCTGGTTGCTAGTGGCTCGATTGTTCTTCGATGTGGTGCTGCTGACACTGGCCATTCATGGTGCCAGCAGCAGTTCCCGCGTGGTGCGCCGACTAAGCTTCGATAATTGCTACGTAACGGAACGCAACGATTGGCACATGAAGGTAAGCCTGAAGTTTGTGGGCCAATCTTATGACAGTTTCTTGTACTGAATTCACAAATATACGAATGCACTACCCACGGGAAAACAGGCTATATTAGTTTTAATACATAGTATATTATACGTCTGACCGCCTGTCCGTCTGTCCATAGTAACACAAGTCATTTTGCCGTAATGGAAGTTGTAAACTGAAAAATTAGTAATATATATTCATGTCTATTCTCATCTGATTTAGTGCTAAGATTTCCCTGATACGCCAACTAGGGTAATGGCCAATGGGAAAATGCTTTTTTCCAGTATAATTATTATTTGAGACAAGTTGAATTTATTTCCGAGTATATTCAAGTCAAGAGTTACTTTATTTTCATTTGTTTCCCACTTTGGAGCACTTTTACTATTTTCATTTATTACTTAAATTCCCATTTAACAACTCTGTCATCCTCATGTATTTCAATTCATTACAGCTGGAGATGTTTTTGGGTCGGTTGAATTTTTTCGAGTTCCGAGTGCGTCCACTGGGACTATTTGAGATCTCCAACGAGCTGATATTGGTCTTTTTGTCTGGACTCGTAACATATCTAACATACATAATACAATATGGCATGCAATCGAATAAGATTTGAAATTTGACTTGATATTATATTAATAAATTATTCTATATACAAAATAATAAATTAATTTGGAATATATATTATAAATATATCCAAGCGGTATGCATGTCTATGCAATAGCAGGCTAATTAACGCCAAGCTAATTAGTTTATTGGGCTCTACAGATATCTATCAATTGAGGTCTTCAATTAAAATCGAGTGCATTTCTGTACATATAAGACCCTTTAACCTATTTGACATGTTATTATTATTGGATTAGTCATGTTCGGAAGTCGTCGGTGCCGGTTTAACGCTTCTTCAGTGTCAGCGAACATTTTGAGAGGATCCTTGAAGTACGCTATATTTATGGGAATCATCTGTTTCAGCGTGAAGAGAAATGGAAATAATGGTCCATTGGTGGCTAAGAATCGAAAGTTTTACACATGGTTCTGCCTGATTTCAAGGATTTTGATCTGTGGCCTATATTGTATCCTAATTTACGATTTCATCTACACGATTAGTATTTCACAGTTAAGGTTTATCGTTGCCAGTCGGTTCTTCATCTGTGTTGTCTGCGCTATCTCCACTCTAATGATGCAGTACTCGTATGGACATATAATTGTTGATGTGGTGAATCGGTTTCTGCGACTGTTACAAAGGATAAACGCACTTCCAGGATGTCAAGATATAGGCTATGGCGACAAGTGGGTGCTGGTCTTACTGCTCGTGAAAGTCATCGGCTTGGCTTACGAGCTTTGCTACCTGATTCCATTGCTATTTTTCGAGTATAGCAGTGTTTTAGCTGTATCTGTTATTTGCGATATATATAATACGGCCAATGTCTACATAATACTACATATCTACTTCGTGGCATACCTCAGCATAGGCATCGCTTATGACCAGGTCAACAATTATATTCGATATAAGCTTCGGCGAGATCTTTGCGAAGTAAATTCGAGACCCGGAATCCCTATTAGTCAGAGGAAGCTAAAAACCGTTGGCCACTGCCTCAACGAGTGCTTGGCCATCTATGAGGAGATTCACGAAGTGGGAAAAGTTTTTCACGAGCTATTCGATTTCCTGCTATGCATTATTGTATTGTTTGGGTTCTTGAGCTTGGCGTCAATCGCATTCTTTGTGATGCTTAATCTATATAACGGCATCCGCTTATTGATACTGGCGATTAAAATACTATTGGATATTTTATTGCTGACTATCGCGGTTCATATTGCAAGCAGCAACTCGAGGGTTATTCGGCTGCTCAGCTTCGAGAATTGCTGTGTGAGCGAGAGTAAAGATTGGCATATGAAGGTGAGTATCATATTCCCATATGGATAGATTAACATTTTAAATGCAATTATGAAATCAGATTAAATTCAATCATAGGTACATAATATCCATTAAACAAGTACTAAAAGTTCTTCTGTTCTTTTAGCTGGAAATGTTCTTGAGTCGTTTGAATTATAAGGAATTTCGTCCTTTGGGTCTTTTTGAAGTATCCAACGAGATGATATTGGTGTTTATGTCCGGCCTGGTCACCTATCTCACCTACATAATACAGTACGACATGAAAACTAATCCAACTTGAAAAGAAAGTTACGAAATTATATAATTTTAATAAAGAAAGAAGAATGTTAAATGTAGACATCGATTGCAATAATGCTCTTTCATGGTAAAAAAAAAAACAGATTTTATTTTGAAAATTAGTAATTTTGAAAAAAACAGATTTTATTTTGAAAATTAGTAATTTTGAATTTGTCACGCTTCAGTGGCCGGGCCATGAAGTACATTGACGTTATTATGTCGAATATTGTGAATTAGTCATTAGTGCCTGCAATAACTTACCGATTTATTATTTTTGGTGAGTCAAAAAAGTTTTTCAATAAAAAGTGATTCCTTCAATTTCAGTACATTCAATACAGAAATCAATTTCATCATGATAACCAAAGGCGCAGCCTCTGACGCTTTTTGTTGAATCAATCAACAGCAACTTAATTATCAGACCATTTTCGATGTAATAAAGTCGAATATATATTTAACAATTCTCGAAATTATACACTACACTTTATCATTCTAGTGAAATATATAAACCACATTTATTTTAAATATTTACAGTAAAAAAGCATTGAAAAAACAAGTAAGAAAGCTCTAGTCGAGACTGCTCGACTACGATATCCCCTGAACCCTTGGAGTAATACCTATTTCAATAATTTTTCGCGTCTTTCAGCTTACACAAGAAACACACACACACACACACGCACACACAGGCATACATACACACATACACACACATAAATACACAAACATTTACACACACATACACAAACACATACACACACAAGCATAAACACGCATGGGCGCAGTGTGCACTTACTATGAGAACTTAATTGTTTAATAACTGAAAGTTATTATGAAAGTGATGGTGAGGGGGTGAATATAGAGGTGGGGGTAAATTTTAACAAAAACCGAAATTGTATAAAATGCATATAAGTATCCATTAAAAATTTGGAGACTCTAGCTTTAAAGATGTAGGAGATATAATTTTATAACTGCTCTTCGATAAGATTTTTTATCGATAGAAAAAGATCGGGATGAGCTATCGATTTTTAATGAAAAACTCGATATCCGCGCTGTAATTACGGACATTAAAAAAAATTTGAAGTCTCTAGCTCTTATATCTTCTGAAATCGACGCGTTCAAACATACGGACAGACGGACGGACAGACAGACGGACAGGGCCAAATCAACTCAGCTCGTCGCCCTGATCAAGAATATATATACTTTGTGGGGTCTGCCACGCCTCATTCTGCCTGATACATACATTTCAACAAAACCATTATACCCTGATTTCCCATTGAAAATGGGTTCAGGGTATAAGAATATAATTAATCTACTAATGCAAGATATACATCGATGAGGCCCTTCAGCGTCGACCCTTAACAATCAAACAAATAAACTCGAGTTCTCATTTAGTACATATGACTCCCGTTAGCTCGTATCATTAGTCTTTATTGGATTAGTCATGTTCGGAAGTCGTCGGTGGCGGTTTAACGCCTCTTCGGTCTCTGCGTGCATTTTAAGAGGATCCTTGAACTATGCCACTGTTATGGGAATCATCTGCTTCCGCGTCAACAGAATTGGAAGTGATAATCGCTTGGTGGCCAAGAATCGAAAGTGGTACAAATGGTTCTGCCTGATTTCAAGGATTGTCATGTGTGGCCTCTACATTCAAATATATAGAAATTTTATGCATGTGCTCAATGCATCTCATTATACGATAATCCTTATCTTTCGTGTATGTATCTATATAGCCTGTGCCGTCTTCACCCTGGTTATACAGTTTTGGTACGGAGAACGAGTTGTTGATTTGGTCAACAGATTCCTGAGGCTTTTTCAAAGGATACACGCACTTCCAGGATGTCAAGATGTTGGCTTTGGCGACAAATGGGTTCTGATCCTGCTGCTCTTAAAGGTGATCAGTCGCATATATGAAAGTTGCTACTTGATCCCAGTGATGATGCCATTATTGGATTCTTATCATATTTCCACCACGATTTGCGATTTCTATAATACTGTCAATGCGTCTATAATATTGCATTTCACCTTTGTTGCATACCTCAGCATAGGCACCGCTTATGACCAGGTCAACAGCTTTGTGCGACACGAACTGCGACAGCAGCTTTGTGAACTAAACTCCAGCCACGGCTTCTCAGTTAGCCGGAGGAAGCTAAAGGCCGTTGGTCACTGCCTCGACGAGTGCCTGGCCATCTACGATGAGATTGCCCAATTGGGAAACGCCTATCACAGACTATTTGAGTTTCCATTATGTATTTTTCTATCCTATGGGTTTCTAAGCTTGGCGACAATTGCTTTCATCATCACGTTAAATTTAGCTGAAGGCATCCGCCTATGGCTACTAACGATTCAAATATTATTGGATATTCTATTGCTGACTACAGCGGTTCACATTGCAAGCAGCAACTCGAGGAATGTTCAACGTCTCAGTTTGGAAAATTACTATGTCAGCGTTCATAAAGATTGGCATATGAAGGTGAGTCTCATATTTCTAGTTAAAATGATTTATTTATTATTGAGTTATAATCAATGTGCAGTCAAAGCCGTAAGAGAAATAAATCCAAAATAAATAAACGACTTTTGCCTCTTAGTGCATAGCATTCCTAAAAGTTGTAGCAAAATTTCTTCTTTTTCTTTCAGCTGGAAATGTTTTTATGCCGTTTGAATTATAACGAATTTCGAGTACGTCCTTTGGGTCTATTCGAAGTATCCAATCAGCTGATATTGGTCTTTCTGTCCGCCTTAGCTACCTATCTCACCTATATAATACAGTATGACATGAAATCAAATCCTACTTGAAACGAAATCTGCGATTTATTTGTCATTAATAAAACGTATATGTGTAATTTAATTCAACATCAACGGACGTGAGAAGATATGATAGAGAATGTTAAAGCTGTATATCAATTCTTCGCAGGGTGCAGGATATGTACTAGTCGAGCAGAATTGATCTCAAATATTACAATTAGCCCATATGATTACACTATGAAAAGAAAACTAATAAGATAATTAAATTGAGATATATATCTATAAGTCTCTTCAGTGTTAACCCTGAAGCATTAGTAAATATTTAAAATCGATTTTGTATTGCGACTACTGTTAGCTAATGGGACTAGTCATTATTGGCTTAGTCATGTTCGGAAGTCGTCGGTGGCAGTTTAACACCTCTTGGGTATCTGTGTGCATATTAAGAGGTTCCTTGAATTATGCCACAGTTATGGGAATCATTTGCTTCAGCGTTAAGAGCACTGGAAGTGGTGGTCGTCTGGTGGCCAAGAATCGAAAGTGGTACAAGTGGGTCTGCCTGATCTTAAGGATTGTGATGTGCGGCCAATTTATTCACATATATAGTAGTTTAATGTTTTTGTTCAAAGCATCCCATATTAGGACAATCCTAATCATGCGTGTATTCATATATGTGGTCTGTGGCGTCTACACCGCGGTGATACAGTTTTGGTATGGAGATCGAGTGGTTGATTTGGTCAACAGTTTCCTGAGGCTTTTTCAAAGGATTCATGCCCTTCGAGGATCTGAGGATGTTTGCTATGGCAGTAAATGGGTTCTGACTTTGCTGCTCTTAAAAGTGATCGGCTTGATGTATGAGAGCTGCTACTTGATTCCAGGGAGGATATCTGATATAAATGCAGGTTATCTGCTGACCACAATTTGCGAATTATATAATACGGCCAATGCATCCGTAATGTTGAATGTTTACTTTGTGGCATACCTCAGCATTGGCATAATTTATGGTCAGGTTAACAGTTATATACGACAAGAGCTCCGCCAGCAGCTAAACGAACTGAAGACCATTAATGGGACTCCAGCTAGTCGGAGGAAACTAAAAGCAGCTGCCCAGCGCCTAGATGAGTGTCTGGAAATTTACGACGAGATTCCTCGAGTGGTCGACAGCTTTCACAGCTTATTCGAGTTTCCACTTTGTGTTGTTCTAATGTTTAAGTTTTTGAGCATAGGATCGATTACGTTCTTCATAATGAAAAATCTTGGGGGCGTAAGCTTATGGTTCATGGTTCTTAAGATATTATTGGATATTTTATTGCTGACCGTGGCGGTTCACATTGCACGCAGCAATTCCCGAGTTATTCGGTGGCTGAGCGTGGAGAATTACTACATTACCAATAACAAAGATTGGCATATGAAGGTGAATATTATGATTGCATCTCTGAATATATGTATGTCTATGTTAATGTTAACTGAACTGATTCGTACTATACGTTTTATTATATGCTCCACACCTTAACTATATATTCTATTTTCTTTTCTGTTTTTGGATCTGTTTTAGCTGGAAATGTTCCTGAGCCGCCTCAATTATAAAGAATTTCGAGTGCGTCCTTTGGGTTTATTCGAGGTATCCAACGAGCTGATATTGATCTATATGTCCGGTCTGGTCACCTACCTCACCTACATAATACAGTACGACATGCAGAGGGAAAATCTTTAGAGCTTCGTCACGCTGTGGGCGCTTATTAACAACCCTCTGATTATGATATGGTAAAAGGTACACCACTGCACACACCTGTCCTGCGGTCGCATGTAAAAATCCGTTGTCAGGACACCAACTCCAATTTCCGCTTAACGTTTTTCTGTCTCACTTTTCCCATGAAAGTTGGCGCATAAATTATTTATGTGCGAGTATGTGGTATCGGTATGCTCTTTTTGCCTTGGAGCAGAAAATTTATGCAGCTAGCCGAGCGACGTAGCTACCGAACCGCCGGCTGGACAGTTCACGCTGAAAGCGCATAAAAACAAGGCCGAGGCCGCTGCACTAATTAGCATAGGTAGAGGTAAACGTAAAGGTAAAGGTAAAGGTAAAGGTAAAGGCACAGATAAAGGTGCACTTGCTCGCTGCACTTGTTCCAGGGCTCAAAAAGGGCTGCGTCAGCGCTGGCTGATAATAAAAAAAAAAAACAGGAATGATCAAGTGTTAGCAAAAAGTCGCACAGGTAATACCTTACCTAAGAGGCAGGCTCTGAGAACTTCTCAAATTTATATAGTTATTAAAAATTACAATAAAATGAATTGTGTGAGCTAATGCTGATTTGTCAGATAAAAGCTAAGCGACTATTATATATCAGTTAACTTAGCTTAGCACAGTTGTAACTGTACAAATATATAATACGATATAGTTATGCACGAAGCAAAGCCTTGGGCTAGAGACAAATTTACAAACATTTGATTGGTGTTAATTGTTTGTCTTAGAGCAAAGGAAAACTCTTAATTTTTAACTCATAATTATAATATATATGTATATGTGATTTATTAGAGGTTGAATTAATAAATTTGTTATGCTGTAAAATATAAATAAAATAAAATAAAATATAATAGTCTATATTATATAATATTTTTTTATTATTTTTTATTTTTCAATATTTTCTATATTAATGGAGAACTTCTTCTTGTTCATATTTAAGTAAATCAAGTGTTTCATATACCTTGAGTTAATGTCCGTAATTTACATATGGCGTCAGAAATTATAATATATTCTGCCAGGGATAAGGGTATGGAAATCGAATTACGGCTTGGTGACGAACATTATCTCGAAATTGACAAAAAGAGAACTGGGGCAATGCCTGGGCCTGCGACTGAGAGTTAGTGAGATTGGGGTTTGTTGACTGCGAGTGAAACTGGGAATGGGATCAGTATTTGGGGGCCCGTTGCGACCTGGTGCTGCTCAGGCTGCGTGCTTTTTGTGTTTATGCGTGCCGTGTAAACGGCAAGATAATCATAAAATGAAGCATTTTCATTGCCATTGCCATTGCTTTTGCCGTTGCCATTGCTCAAATTATTGTACTTTTTATGCTGTAAAATATAAATAAAATAAAATAAAATATAATAGTCTATATTATATAATATTTTTTTATTATTTTTTATTTTTCAATATTTTCTATATTAATGGAGAACTTCTTCTTGTTCATATTTAAGTAAATCAAGTGTTTCATATACCTTGAGTTAATGTCCGTAATTTACATATGGCGTCAGAAATTATAATATATTCTGCCAGGGATAAGGGTATGGAAATCGAATTACGGCTTGGTGACGAACATTATCTCGAAATTGACAAAAAGAGAACTGGGGCAATGCCTGGGCCTGCGACTGAGAGTTAGTGAGATTGGGGTTTGTTGACTGCGAGTGAAACTGGGAATGGGATCAGTATTTGGGGGCCCGTTGCGACCTGGTGCTGCTCAGGCTGCGTGCTTTTTGTGTTTATGCGTGCCGTGTAAACGGCAAGATAATCATAAAATGAAGCATTTTCATTGCCATTGCCATTGCCATTGCTTTTGCCGTTGCCATTGCTCAAATTATTGTACTTTTTAAAGGCAACAAACAGAACACGGACAGAGAGTTACAGTCATTTTTCCCATGATTGTTCTGTTGGCCACGACTGGGACTGTGACTGGGACCGGTGTGCGGTAATTATGGGTCATCCAGCTCAGCTACTCGTGTAGTATTTGGTGCTCTCCCTCTCTCTCTCTCTCTCCATCTCTGTCTTTGCTTTCCGCCTGCAATTATCATACTCACACACTCATACACTGGCTGTATGTGTATGTATATTAAAGTTTCGGCTAAGAGGCGAAAGATACTATAAAAAAAAAAAAAAAAAAAAAAAATTAATGATGCTTTCAACATTTCACTAGACAAAAGCACACGGGCCCATGTTGAAGTTGTAGCTCAAGTGCAGGTAGCTCCGCTGTTGGTAACTCCCATGGCTAAATGTACAGCTACTTGAACAAGAACAGCGTTAAGAATATTCTGATAAAACAAACGGATGATGAAAATATCATCATTACGAACTGAAAGCCGTAAGTCGATCAAGATTATGTATTCTCTATGTATGTATGTGTATGCATGTAGCAACAGTAGCCGCTAGACAGTAGCCGCCAGTCGGCAGCAGATTGAGAGAAAGAAAGAGAGAGAGAGCCCTGTTCAAAAGTGAAAGAGGGAAAGAGAAGTGTGGTGCCTTTAGAGGCTGCAGGCTACGAGCCGGGCAACATCCGTTGATAACTCATTAGCCAGCAGCAGCAAAAAAAAAAAAAAAAAAAAAAAAAAAAAAAACAGAAATGGAAGGGCTAACAAGTTTTGCACATGAAACATGAAACATCTTATTGCTCAAATAAAATGACTTTAATGTAACATTTCCCCGAAGCCAAATATCAGCACATTAGCTACCAAATTACGTTGCCTCAATTAGTACAAATTGACATGTAAGAGCATTTATCATTAATTACGACACCATTTGTATACCGTATTTAATTAATGTCAATTAGCCAACAAAATGGGGGAAATAAATGATCAAATAATGCTTAATATATTTATTATAGCATCATTTTGTATTTGCATTTAATTTTCGAGTCAGGCCAATAAATGATCCAGAATCAAAATTTTATTTACCAAAAATTCTTGTTCAATTTGTTAGAAATTATTAAAGAGCACTAAAATTTATATACAGAGAAATTTATAATTAAAATGATAATATGTATATAACAGAATAGAACAAATGAAAATGATATTTGAAGAACTCTCCCGATTGTACACATGTATATGTGGCACAGAGAAGACATTCAAAAAGTTAACTCTTTTATAATTGCATATTTTGCATAAGAAAGCATATTATAGATTAGAATTTGATATAGATTGGGTTTGATTCAGTCTTGAATCGTTTGAGCTACGATGTGCCCATATAAAAAATTGGCCATTTTATAATCAACTTAGACGTTATTCATCTCGAATAAACATTTAAAAATATATATAATATTAATATTCAGACAGTGATATATTTATTTATAAAATTGTAATACCATACAAATGCTTGTCAATATTGAATGGAATATTTAAAACTCGTGTGGGCCATATTCATTTGCATCCAGCTTATATTGACAGTGCATTCAGTTAGTCTGTAACTAGTTACTATTTTAGATTTCCAACTGTCAGTCATATAATAATTACGCTTAAGCCTTCTACAACTAGAATTGCATGCACATGCGTCTGCACCTATATATATGTATATGAATATGCAAACATGGTCTTGAAATTGGATACTTGGACCGATTGGGTTTATGGACGTAATGAAAAACAATTTTGATTAAATGCAAATGGATTTTACCTTTTGCAGTCTGATGGCCTTCTAAGGCGTTTGAGCAACTGCAAATGAATGCTTGTGCATAAATATGTATGCACAATTGTATATATGTGCATAGCCATTTACATGCAGCTGCCAACTGCCAACTGCCAAAGCTGAAATCGCAAACCTCAACCCAAACCCAAACCCAAGCTCAAACACAAACGCGTACTTAAAGTCAAAGAATTGGCACGAGCTGAGCACACGTCGTCGTGATCGTCATCAACGTTGTTTGTGCTCCATGGAGCTTGGATGTGCCTGCCGCTGTGTACAGTTCTGGCGCGGCATTTTATGGCTGCGCATATGGCGAATGCAGAATGCAGAATGCTCGACTGGCTTCGGGGGAACTCGTTTTGTGGGCTGTATGGGTGCGCGCTCGCGTAGGCGCTGCAACGGCGACTGCGGCAACATCATCGAGAGGAAGCAGCGCGTGTGCGCTGTGCCAACATCTGGAGTTGGACCAGTTTGAAGCCAGCATCGGCAGCACAGTAGCCGACGGGCCAGGTACATATATAAACATACACATATGGACAGACACATTTGAGCCCGGGCGCAAGATAATCGATGTATACTAATTATTTGCTTTGCCTGCAACTGTTTGTCATGCTCCGAGTTGCGTTTTCTTCTGCTGCTGCGTCAGCCAGCTCGGGTACAGCAAAAACAAAAAGCACAACAGTAGCCAGCAGTCAGAGTCCCTCAGTCGACATTCGTAGCTTGAGATTGTGTCTGGGCTGGCTAAAATAATGGTCATCGACAGCAGCCGCACCAGCCGCAGCAGCAGCGGGCGGGTTGGGGGCCATGGGATGCTGGCTACTGGCTGCTGAGTGTGTCTTGGGCAAGGTTACGGACGCTGCGAGCGTTTGTGTTGCTTTCTGCTGCGTTGTGCTGAGATCTGTTCTGTTGTGTTGTGTTGTTGCTAGTCCAGGCCCAAGCACTCCGCACGGTAGTCAAGTTTAGACACCTTAAATACACAGGAAAGCGTCATTTAACCGCTCGTTCCAAAAACGACAAGCACGGGGCGTGGCACAGCCTGCCGTCAGGCCCAGCACTATTAATTACATGGACAGGCCTCACTTTAAGCCCCACTAAATTATATGTGTATCTAAACACACACACACACATATATATATATATATAAACATTTATGCATACTTACATACATACGTACATACGTGCAAATAATGCACTTGTATCTGATAAGATTGAGACTACAAGGTCAAAGCTTCAGAACTTAACCGCTAAGTCTCCCTTTCGTGGACTGCTTCAGATCTGCACAGATCGATTTCAATCAACACCCAGGGAAAGCTCAAGCAGAGCTTCAGCTACACCAACATCAACAGCCAACAGCAACAACAACAAACAAGTTTTCAATGCAAACAACAAAAAAAGGTACAGTCACAACGATTAACAACAACAGCAGCAGCGGCGAGAGCGACAACTGCGTCGCGACGCTGCTGACGTCAAAGCTTGGCTTGAGCCAGCTTTTTGATTTGGCCGAGACGTGTGGCAAGCTTGCCAAGTTTGGAACAGGTTTTGATTTCAGATTTTGAAGCTATTGTGCAAAGAGCGCTGCTGCTGCTGCTGCTGCTGCTGTTGCTGCTGCAGATGGTTGTTGATCTCGTGCTGCGGCCGCTGCCCGCAAAACAAGTAGCAAAGCAAAAATCGGCAAACGAGTGAGTGTTGCGTAAATTACAAGCAGCAAGCACACACACATACACTCCTCATAAGCAACAACAAATTTATTATTATTTTTCTTTACGATCGCAACGTCGACATCGACGCCGTTCTCAATTGGCTCTCCTACACACACACACACAGATGCGCTCTCTCTGGAACTGTTCTCTTTCTATCGCCGAGCTGTGCGCTTTTTTTGTGGATTCCATTGGCCATATAGTGGAAAGTGGGTCAGCAATAATTTCGGTTCATCGAACACACAAATAACAAAGCGTCTGCGCTGAGTGTGCGTGCGCAGCCCGGCCCCGGCTTCTGCGCAGTAGCCTTAGGCAATCGCAATCTGTCTCTCTCCCTCTCTCTATGTCTTTCTCCAGCTCTCCCCCAAGCCCATTCCGATATCGATTTGAGATATCTTGCGAATACTCTACCATGATGGCGTGTGATTCATTCAACTGCAACCAAAACCATTTAACAAAAGAAACTCTTCGTCGCATACCTTTCCGACATACTCACTTTTATTGTGCCGATATAAGCACATGTGCAGGTATGTGCTAAGCCGTTAATCAATTTGTCATTTGTACGATCTGACAAACTATATTATGTTCTGTGGAAGTTTACTCGGATGATTCAATGGGGTGAAGAACGTATATTTATGTATATAGTTATGAAAGTATTAGAAAATATTAGGAAACTCACCTGATATTTTCTTCAATGTCGATAAGTAACATTGTTCTAGAATCAATCATCTAAAATAACATAGAGTAATGTTAAATATACGTCATCAAAGCTCTTACCTAAGATTCCTCTATATCTATTATCTTGATCTGTATCTATTATTTTATCTTAACAAAAATCGTAAACGATCAAATATTTTGTATTGACAGATCTACTACTTGCTTGGCAAGCTATTTGTTCCGGTAGCCACGATCGAAAACAGTTATACAATCTACATAGATACATTGTAGATATTGTTCTAGCTGGCCTATTTCCTTTGCAGGTCAGCAAAGATTCGTCGAAGATCGTAACGCTTGCTTGCTTGCCCATTTGTTAACGCCTTGTTTATTTAGGCCAAAGCGAGTATTGGCATTTGCTGTTGTTGGCTTGTTGACGCAAAAAGGCTGGAAGGGGGTGTGTTGTTATATTGTTTCTGTTTTTAATATACTCATAGCATGTTTTCTCTCTCTCTCTCTCTCTTTATTTATATACCTAGCCCACTTGATTTAGCATGCACTTTGCAAATGCCGCAACAAGCATATGAGGAGAATTTGTTATGTTTATAAGATGGTGTTGAAACTCGATTTGTGTTACGTATACCTCAGACTGTACGTATATAGTCGTCTATAGTATTCAGTCGTCTATAGTATAGATGACTACTGTATGTTCTTGCTCTATATTAAGTTCAAACAATATTCTGGCACGTTTGTTTATCGACTGGTTGCCTCGTAGTCACGTTCCAAAAACTGAGAATTCAGAATGTTTGTGTGTGTATGTGTGTGTGTCTGTATATGTTTGGGATGACAAATAAAATTGTTTGTCTGTGTCACGTTACGAGCACACGATCTCAATAACCGATCAGCACTTGCTCTGATCACGATTGTCTGTTTCTATTTTGTTTCTAGTCATTCGGCAGTGAAAGTTGTTTCTCAATCATAATGAAGCGTATCAATTTTAGCGTAGGACGCAATCGTCTCTACTCATGGTGGGTGCTCGCCTATAAATTATCTATTGTTTATAGCGGCTTCGTAATCTAATTGCCATCGTCTCCGATATTGAACAGTTGTCTACAAATTATGTGCAATTTATAGCGACATCCTAATCTAATTGCTCGTTAATTATTACCTGATTCTGATTAATAATGTTCATGTTCCAAATTTATACTTATCGTATAAAAGGTTGGCAGTTATAGTCTTGCAGACCACGACCAGAGGTCAAAATGTTCATCGTGGAGCTTTCGCTTCAGCTGATAAGCAAGTGTGTGGCCAGCAATTGCATAGAATGTGGATTTAATTAGCTCAGAATGTGCCGCTAGTTACACACGATTCTTACGCATGCCTGTAAATATATAACCGCAGCCGCCCCACCAAACCACAATATACACACACAGTGGCACTGTAGCGGCTGTACGCGGAACATGGGAGCTGTGTGTGCCCTTAGCATGGGGGCCATTTGGAGTGTGCGGCATCTTTCAACTGCAGCGCCGGCATGCGAACAACAATGCAGCAGTAGTTACTCTTGGACTCCTCAAGCTGTTTCATCATAAGCTAAATCGCTAACCCCCTGGCCGCACATGTGCCCTTACACACTCACACACACACACACACACACCCTAGGGCACAGGGTGTACCAAGTGGTTTGAAAGACACCCAGCCGACGGGGAGTTGAGCTAATTAAGTACATGGCAAATACTTGGAATGCCCGGTTGAGGCAGGAAATCGAAGCTGGCTAATGGGGCGGCTGGACTGGACGGGAATGGGCGACTGGCCGGAAATATGCATGGCTTGCTTGGCCTTTTGGCCAGCAGCTCCAAATGGGCAAAAACAAATTTGAATGCGCCCTGTCAGGAAGAATTGGGAGCTCTGTTGCCAACATTGTTCGCCAGCGTGTGCAGCCGACCAAAAAAAAAAATAAAAACAAAAAAAAAAAATAAAAATAACAAATTAATTCTGTTGCAATGTAGGCGAGTTTCAGTTCTTTATTTTCCTGCAGACATAGACTAGGTATTATCAGTCGGCTATGAGATTGGTAACGATTCAATTTGAATAAGAAGTTCAGAAGTTGAAGCGAAACTCCCGCATGCCTAGACATATATAAATATAGAGATCGATGTCGATATTCTCACAGAGGCATCGTAGAACTTGGTGTAATATAGTTAGTATACTACGATCAGCGTTAGATCTTCAAAAGAACTTTTCAAGATCTTTATTCGAACTATATCTATATGGTATAGCTCATATGGTATAGCTCTTTTGAACATCTGAAAACATTGCAATGTGCATTAGAGGGTATTGCATTTTCGACTTGCTATGCTATAGTATTACGCTGGTTTCGCTTTGTTTTCTCTGTTTTTTTTTTTTTTTTTGCCGTTTTGTTTGCTTTGTTCAGTGCATGAGTATTTTGCCAAGCGAATCACACACCGAACGCACACAGGTCAAAAACGGTGCTGAGTTCAGGTTCAGCTGAACCTCAACGATCGCGTATATATATATATATATATGTATATATATATAAACAATATATGTACTTGAACAGCGTGTATCTTCATAATAGGCGTGATAAGCGCGTTACGCTCGGCTGGCGCCCAAAAATAATCAAAGACAAAGACGCTTTTGTAGATGACGATGTTGATAATTGGGGCGGGCGTGGTGGGCGGAAGAGGAACTAAGGGGCCAGACATAGCTATGATAATTACACCGTGTTAGCTCCGAATTCGTTCGTCGGGTCATTGTTATGCTGCTGCCTAACGAGCACCAACTTCTTAGCACCACCCATCTCCGAATTGTATCAGCTGGTACGTATAATGGGGCACAATATAATGAACGATAATATGGCCAACATAAATTTGAAAAAAAAGTTCAGTGAAAGAGGCACAAGAAATTGGGGACCTACAAACACATGCGTGAACTAACCGCAGAAGATCTAATAAAACCACAGCCCAAAACCAAGAGCAAATATGTGGCTTCAATGTAACGTGGAACCATCTGGCCTCGCTGAGCATGAGTTTCATATATAATAAAAATTAAATAAACCCTTTCTCCGATCCATAAATTCCATTTAAAAATTATATCATTATGATTGATTTTTTATTGGGGGTTGACTCACAGCTGTTTCATGCTTTATACCCATTGCAAATGTATATGAAAAGGGGTTTCATTTATAGCTTTGTAAGAATATCAAAGAATATAGGGAAAGAAGGAGGATATGCCATCAACATAGGAAAATTAATCTAAGAGAAGGTATGCTCTATAATAATGTTAGCTTAGTAACTTATGCATAATGTTTTATTTCCTATAAGACATGCTTCTTTAATGACAAATTTTTGTATTCTATGCTATATTCTATATTATACTCTCTCATTCGTTGTCCATCTCCCCGGCTCTCTCTTGATCCATTTATTTCCAGGTCATATCAACGCTCTATAGCATATGGCATTTCTATGTGATTGTCAAGAAAACAATTAATAAAGAAAATGTTTTCACAAAATGCTATATAAAATATTATTTTTAAATAAAGTATTATATTGTAAATAATTCATTTTCGGTTCTCAACTTGTTATATTCAATCTGGCGATTTCTTCGGCTACTTCAAAGCCGCCCGTGAAAGCAAATTGTATTAATATGAAAAGATATGTTACAATGGCCGATAATATTGTTGGTATGAATCTATTATCAAGCTGAAGTATGCCCACGACTTTTACTTCCAGTTGTTGGGCTCGCAGCTGATTCAAAAACGATTCCACCTATTAGGGAATATTCTATCATCGATTTTCAATGTCATTTTTTAGCAATATTTCAACTCACGCTCTTGTCCCACCGCTGATCTATGTCGGTGCACACAATGTCCAATGGCAATAACTGTGGCATTTCCGATTTCTTGATCATGTAATCCGCGCACATGATCAATAGCACAATGTTGGCCATCTTAATGCAGGTCATCACCACGGGCACCATTTCGCCCTGGGTGCCCTCCAAATAGTTGACTATATACTCGTACAGCATTATTAGCAAAACAATTAGATTGTAGTATATGTAGAATAAGATTTGCCACTGGAAAATGTCGCGAAACGAAAGTGTTACTCTATAAAGCTCACTATAGATTACGCCACAGGCGTCCAGCTCGTCGGCCCGATCGCACAGCAAACACATACGTCTATAGTGACTCAGTCTTGACGGCATCGGACTTATATTCTCATATGAATTGAGATACGGTTCGGATTCATCATCCGATGACTGTTCCTGGCCATCCATATCCACGGAACGCATCTGCTGCAGCATGATCGCAATATGTGAACCCATGTGCTCATAGAGTACGCCGGATACGAAGAAGCCGAGGAAGCACGCATCCAGCAGAAAAATGGTGCCTAGCCACAAATAAATCGCAATTAGACCGCCGATCACGTGACCCACATCCATGTGCAGAATATATCGCAGAGGTAGCAGCTGTGGCAGCTCGTAGAGAAAGCCGCAGAGCGTTAGAATCAGCTTCAGGGCATAGAGAATGGGGAACTTGAGCGTAAAGAGATGTTCGGCTCCGGTTAGGACACAGATGCGTCCATAGAGTGAAATATAATGATTCAACACGGCCGTAAATCTGGACTCGGCACGCACCTGCATTATGAACGAGCCGACGGCAAAGAGGCTCACAGAGCTGGACTGCAGCAGGACAATTAGAGCAGCATAGGTCTGTGTACTTTTCACTGTGTTGAAGATTTCCGGAATCATGTGCCAGTAGATGCTAACCAAGATGGCGCGCCAGAGTATGATCAAGAGTCGGTTGCACTGTTGGCGCGGCGGTCTCAGCTGCAGTTGCTCCCGCTCCACACCCAGCGAGCTGGAGAGCAGCGACAGGCCGCGAGCCGCTTGGTAAAGCGCCAGCAAAACTCGGCGCGACCAGAGCTCCACGCCATCAATCGCTGGCTTGTACTGGTGCATGGCCAGGCGTTGACTGGCTGAGCAAAATATAGAAATGCTTGCCCTATATGTCGGTCGCATGTCCCAATGTCCCGTTGTCCTGACCACTGACAGGGCAGGCACCAGTATTGAAGGGCCATGGATGTGGGCACAGTTGTTGCTGTTGATTTTATTAATTGAATGTGTCTAGATATCAGCAATTGCGTTTCACGCTTCGCTGAGTGCCTTGCTGACTGATTAGCCGAAGCCGGAGCTGGTGACGGAGAGACAGACGGAAGCGGAGACAGAGACGCAGTTCATCGCGATATGAGTAGAGCCTGCCCATTCGCTGATGGACAGGCCAAGAGTGCTCATTGACCACGGCTGCGCCTGATCTCCCCTCGCTGCATATTGTGCGCACATTGGAGCAAATGCTCTTGACAATTGTAGAAATTTCAAACGCTTGCTGGACTTGGACTTTCAATTTGATTGAATGAATTTGGATTTAATCAGGCAAATCAAATAACGTCTCAATATGTCATTATTTTAGCAAATACTGATAAGATTTCAATTGAAATTATTTTTGATAAAGAGGTAAACTATTATTGTTTCCTAATCGGGAGGTGTCTGATGCGCCTGGCAAGGCCGGCACGCGAGAACCCACACGTTTCATTCGAGTCGGACATATTCTAATAGAATCATTTTATTGGACTGTATAAGTTGTCAATCCGTATCAACAGCTGAGCCAATATAGCCACGCCCAAAATTAAGTCTATTTATCTGCTTGGAATTATGCAAGCAGGTTCCACAGTTGTGAAATATTTGTATGTTTGAATATGCCTGATCGGCTTACTATAAAATAGGATTTGTAATAGGTAAAAACAAGTTTTTTTTAAGGTGTAAATAACTAGTATATTTGCATATTGCTATAGCAACTGAAAAACTAAAAGTAGATTTAAAAAATTAATTAAAAGAAAAAATTCTTTACTAATCGTCATATGTAATATATGCCTTAATATATATATAATATATTTTCTTTTTATTTTTTTTATGAAATATTTGTTCCTATTCTATGCGAGCAATATATATTCTAAATAAACCCTAGATTATTTAATCTGCCAGATAGACAGATCTTTTATAATTGTTCTGAATCAATTAGATGTCCTTGCTAGCCATATAAGAACAGAAATTGTCTAAAAAGAAAACGTCTAAATGCCAGAATCAATTTTATTTTAGCATATGAAATACATTTAAATATCAAGTTACTTAGAAAGGTCTTTTTGTTGCTGCTGATGTTGATTGGCTTTGTTCTTGCTGTTGCTGTTGTTGTCGTTGTTGTTGTTACCTTTGTCTATGCTGGTGTTACGAAGGCACTGCACTCCCACTGCTGCAAGCTGCCAAACACGTTTGCTGGACATTAGAATGTGACGCGGTTCAATGAACTAACGCAAACGGCAATATCCAGCTGGAGGAGGAAGTGTTGTGTGCCCAAAGACTGGCAATAGAAAAACAAAGTCAATAGCCTTTAAGTTGCTGCCACAACAAGCCAGAACGACAACAACAGCAACAAAAACAACAACAACAGCAACAACAATCAGCAACAGGTCTAGGCTGGCTGGCTGTTGTTGCTGCTCCTGGCATGATCATTGCCGCTGACAACGCTGTGGCAAGCAGGCGTGCAACAAGCCTTGCCCCATAACAGGTTTTCCCAATGGAAAGGCAATGGAAGCCAAGCCAAGCCTAGCCTAGCTTCGCCTAGCCCCAGCCATAGATAGATAGATAGTAGAGTTTCATGCAGCAGTCTCTACTTCTCTCTAGTCCAGTACAGCATCCTGCAACTGCAACCAGTTTACGTACAGTTCGTCCAGTGCCCGATTGCCCGATGCCCGTTGCCTGATGCCCAACTCTCGACTTTCCACTACTCATCGCGTCCGTGTTATTGTAGCCCAAGTACATGAAGTAATTGCATGAAGCAAGCCTGACCCCAGCCGTGATGCTGCTGCAGCTGGAGCTCCATCAACTGGCGGCCAATGAACTGCCACAGAAAAGACAATAGGAGCAGCTCGCAGCTCGAGCCGTTGCCCGGGAGCTGACGCTGCGGCGGGGCAGGCTGAGGTATCTGCTGGAGCCAGTGTTGTATTGCTAAATTGGAAATAATTGCAGAGACGCAGCAGCAGCAGCAGCGGCAGCAGCAGAATGCACGTGTGCAGCTCTCGTTGTTGTTGTTTTTGTTGTTGTTGCTGTTATCGTTGTCATCAGTTGTTGTTGTGGTTGTTTTTCTACTATGACATAAAATACGAGACAAGAGCTGAGCGAGGTGGGGTAGGCAGATAATATGAGTAGAATCTGCAAATAGGCAGAGGCAGAGGCAGAGGCAGAGGCAGCGGCAGCGGCAGCGGCAGCGGCAGAAGCAACAACAATATGCGGAAAATGCTCTGGAATAATGACAATAATAATAAAGTTGTGCGCAATGCCAACAACAACAATAACAACAAGAACAACAACAGAAACAGCGAAAAAAAATAATCATAAAGGAAAAAGTTCAACGACATTTGGAGATTAGAGAACATTCACAATAAACCAGAAATACCAACAACAAGAGTGTGTGGCACATGCACATTTGAATATGCCGATGTGTATGTTTAAGCGAGAGGTTCATCGAAGCCCTGTGACGTTGTCGGAGCCATAGAAAAACAAAAAAGTCATCGACATCATATGGATTTTCATTACGTTGAACGTGGCAGTGGCAGTGGCAAAGAAATGCGTCAGAAATAGCATCAGGGACACAGGGGCATTGGGGCTTGGAGTTTGGAGTTGGCGGCCTGGGGCTCGAGGCGCAGGGCAGAGGTTGCATGTATTGTATGTACATATATAAAGAATTTGAACAAAATACAATGAAAAACAACTCAGTCGGTGGGGGGAACAGGAAAATGATTTTCATTGTGTGCCTTGGAAAAGCTGACAGACGGACGCAGTTGCAGTCGCAGCAGGCATTGAAGTCATTAGAGTTGCGGGAGACATGCCCCATGCGTTCGCATAAACAACATCAGCAACAACAAGAACAACAACAACAACAGCAGTGTGGCAGTCCATGCAAATGATGAGCTCCGTCTCTCTGTCTGTCCGTCTGTCTGTCTGGCTGCACTGTGATCCATTGGGGCCAGGCCAAATGGCTGCAGCCCAAAGACGGCTTCAGCCATTTGGCGTGTGTTGCATAAAATGCCACACTTGGCTGCGTCGCTTCAGCTATTTACGGAGGCAAAAGATGCAACCCCTACATAGCTATGAGGCGGCATTTGCTTGCGCTCAATTTGGATATATCACAACGCTAAAGATGCTGGAGTCGGCGCACTCTCAAGCATCGATACGCTGTCAGAGATCCAAAACTGACTTCTGGGTGGGGCGATACGAAAAAAGTTGGCAATAAGTCGATTGCTGTATGCTCTCTATCTCACTCTCTTACTCACATTTTCTCTCTTTCCCTTTTACTCTCTTGATCACTTTCTCTCTACCTCTCTCCTTCCCTCTTCCTCTTGTACTTTCGAAATCACTATATCTCTCTTTCTCTGTCTTTCCTTATCATATTTTATATATATATATATAAATATCTCTGTCTCTCTCTCTCCCTGTCTTTCCTTATCACATTCTCTCTCTCTCATGTATCTCATTCTTCCTTCTATCTCTTATGCTCTCTTTTTCATCGAGCTCTGAGCATAAAATCAGAATCCTTATTCAGACAATTAAGTTAACTTGATGTTCTCAAACTTTTCTTTTAATATATACACAATTTCTTAGCTTAGATTTTTAATAACTTTAACTTTAGATACGATAATTTTATCCACTTGCATGATTGCATACACAAGTAAAGTCAAATTTGTACTAAATAATGCTAAACGAGCAAAATAAATCTAACATTCGTTTTGTCCACTTTGAAAGGGTATAATTAAAGACAGTGCTGCTGCTTCTGGTTCTGCTGTTGCTGGCGCGGATGCTCAATTCGATTAGGTTTTCAAAATCGATTCCCAAAGTCAAATTGTATTTGTTTTACCGCCTTTGTGAGAAAATAAACAGGCAGATACAGCCCGTTGTCAGATGATGCCTGATGCTGGTTATTGGAACTGGGATCGGACTTGAGGACTGAGTTTGAGTCGGAATCTGACACTGAGACTGAGACAGAGACTGGGCCCTTCTTTCATTGCGTCTCGCCTTTGTTTGTTATCACTTGAAGCTTGAGAATTTTTACGAATTGATTAAAGCAACGTTTGTTTACAAGCAGGTAAACAGAAAGCGGTGCGAGTGGGGCAGGAAGAGAGACGGAGAGAGAGAGGGAGAGGGAGGGAGTTTGGGGGGAGTATAGAACTAAATGAAGAATGCAAGATGTGGAGAGAGTGTGTGACCGAGAGAGAGAGAGAGAGAGAGAGAGAGAGAGGAGTGAGCGAGAGGGAGCACACAAACTTTCCGTTTAAATGGTTTTACAGTTGAATTGCAAACATGTTCTGCTTGGTCGTAAAGCCGTCTATCCGCCACCGTCGCCATCCTCTGTGCTCATTAAGCAAAGCATGACGAATAACTGCAGCGTCGATGGCAGCGCTGACGTTGACGTTGACGCTGACGCTAGCACACCTGACAATTTGTTAATGAGAGCAACAGGTTCAGCGACGCGGCAGGAAGCGAAGCGATAAAACCAAAAACCAAAGCAAGCGCAACGGACTACAACTGACGGGATGACGGATGTCCTGCTAAAGTGAGACAGAACCAGAACCAGAGCCAGAACCAGGGCCAAAGGCCGAGCCAGATGCACAGCCAAAGCCGACAACGTTAGCAGTAAAATACAAAAAAAAAAAAAAAAAAAAGAAAGAAGCAAAATTGTAAATAATGCAAAACATTTTCTCACCACGTTCCGCTGCTGGCGCACTTTTTAGGCTTCCCTCATAAGCTGCTGCCGGATGGGAAATGATATGTAGAAAATGAGGAAAAAAAACAACAACAACAACATATAAGTATATGCATGTATACATGTGTATATATGTGATGATCTGTGCTTTCTAACTGACTATCTATGTGAAGTGTCTTAGCGCTGGCCATGACAGTCAGAATATGAATATCTCTTTAGGCAAAGTTGCATATAAACAACATATGGTCGATACGAGATATGACCTTTTTCCGATATGCACTCACACGTATGCCTATATATGTATGTATGGGTTGTATATGTTTATATGCACACACAGCCCATAGTACTGTCCAGCCCATTTTGTAGTGAAATTTAATCAAGCGTTTAATGCCAAGGTGGAACGTCAGAGAATATAATACAGAGGGCCAAGCCATTCGCTGGCAGCGAGGGCGTTTTTGACTCGTTTCTACTATGCTGACGCTGATGCTGAGCAGAGCAGTGTAGAGCCCAGCGGAGCTAAAGCGAGAAGAACCCTGTCTGGGGTGATCTGTGCCTCAGTCTGTGCCTGTGCCTGGGACTGTGGCCATGTCTGCTTGATGCCTGTCAGATGTCAGTCTGTGCCTGGTGGGAGCGTCTCTCACCTACGACGCTGGTTAATGACATTTTGAGTTAATTGCTGCTGCTGCGGCTGCCATATGGGTATACGGTCAGGGTATCGGATCTGGCAATACGGTAAATGAATATGCGTATAGCTGCCCAAGTGATGGCATTTCCAGGCAACGTAATTTGACTACATATGCGTACATCAATATCAAATTGGGGGAGGCAACATATACATACAAGCATATGTATGTATGTATGTGCAATGAGGCCTCGCCAGATGATCGATTCCTGATGATCCGTTAAGTTAAGATCTTAAGTACAATTTTGTTTCTTTCTTTTTGGGCTGCAGCTGAAATATGAGAACTTTACACATTTATCCAAATTAATAAACACGTGCTAAAATTTTGTTTTTACAAACTTTATGTAACGTTTTCGGGTAAGGACTTAAAACAACTTTCAAAGTGTAATTCAAGCACACTTTAATTCCTTTTTTCCCGAAACGATATAAACTTGAGTATTAAATATTATAAGCTCATCAATTGTTTATTATTTATTTATCAGTAATAATAGCAAATATATAAAATAGGCAATGAAGACAATCGTTGGAATACAATGTGAAAGGGGCAAAAAGTGCTCGAGTGTCCAAAATTTGATAAGAAAAAGTGATATATACATATGTAATTGTACGTATGACTAAAAATAAAATTGTCGTATGTTTAATGAAGCTTATAGCTTATATAATATACGATAGAAATGATAACGCATAATGGTATACTCATATTACTAAGACCGTTGCGAATCGAAAGAAACTATTTATTTTGATATATCTGTGAAGTAGAAACGGATTATATTATCGTTGCTATTTTCTTAATTTAGAATATAAGGGCTACATACATATATAAATATGAAATGACATATCGAAATTGAGAGCCTTGGAAATTGGAAAAGGCATTGGTTTTATTACATATATGTTTGAAGTAGAAACCCTGTACTTTGTATACTATTTGAGCTGGCATTTCCATATGTACCAGACAAGCTCTCGTTGAATATATATAATTATTTAGATTTCAAAGTCCCCGCTATACCTCAACTTTATTGCAAGCGAGTTTATCTCATTCACTACTTCAAAACCGGGAGATATATTTCGGACGTTGGATATTTTCTTGTAGAGACGTTTGTTATGGCAAGGTTATAATGGGGATGTCATTATAAAGCTATGATTTTTTTTTTAAGATAGTGCATTTAGAACCAAATTGATTAATATACTAAATTTAAATATATAATATACTTTACTTATATATATATTTATATATAAAGGTACATATAGGGAAAAAACCACAAATTCTTAAAATTTGAAATTCATATTATATTTATTATGTAAGAATAAACGAAAGAACTTTGCACAGTAAAAATAATTTGCATTTGAGCTTTAAGAATATTTCAAGTGTCTATTTATATTCTATATTCAAATAACATCATCAAAATCTGAAGTCAAACATGATTATTTTATTAGAATTAATTTTTGTATAACTATCTCTTATTTACCCTCGTAATTGTGATAGAGTACATACCCAATTACTATAATTTCATATATTTAGTGCACAATAGACTATTGCGTTGCAATCACTGCACATTAACTATGTATATATACAATATAAGACAGAGTATCTATTGTGACAACCTATTGTGACGTCAGTCACTGTGTGTGTTTGCATATACATACATATGTGTTTCTCATTTGGCGCGCTTTTTATACACATGCAATCACTAAATATGGAAATGGAGGGTATATTGGTTTTTGTAAATGTATGTAACGGGCAGAAGGGGGAGTTACAAGTGTATATATGTATTTTAGATCTGTCCCTTTGTCAGTTTACTTCGATCTCAAATATCGACTTATGAGTGCTATAGGAATTATATTGGTTCTTAATAATCCATAAAATGTTTCTGGTAACGCGATTAATTATTATCGATTTGGGCATAATTTAATATATCCCTTGAATCTTCAAATTTGATGTATAAGAATATACATACATATGAATGTATTTATTGTATGTGTATGATTGCATATATAAGTGTGTATGCATGTAACTAAAATTTCCAAATGGCTCGATCAGAATTTAAAAAATCAATATTGTCAAATATATTCTGTCAAGCGGAATTTAGGGCATCTTCTAGTCGGGCACTATAGTTGTCTTGCTTTTTCGATTTTCCATTTGTTTGCTGCCGGGTTGCAGCAGCTAGTTACGGATAATTTCCTAGAGGCACCACGACCAACAACAACTACAAACACAACAATAACAATAACAGGCATAACAACAACAGGACTCACTGTCAAGTGAGCAGGTACAACAAGGAGGCGAATGCAGAGATAGAGGCAGCAGCAGAGGCGGGAACGTCGCGACGCGTCGGTGCAGGCGCAGGCGTAGGACGCTCAACCACCAATATATGTACATATGTATGTGTGTATGTATGTTTATACACATATACTGCCAATACCAAACCAGTTTTTATAATGTCAATTCGAATCCTACACGTTCACGTCCATGTCCAATCCACACGCATTAAGCGCGACAGTCGCAAGTCTCGACGCGTCCAAATAATGACGACAACGGCAACGAGGCGGCAGCGCAGTGACAGCGCAGCGGGCATAGGGCTGTGGGCACTGAGACGTTGGTAGCAGAGGCTGCAATGGCAACAGCAACGGCGACTGCGTCGATTGGTTGGCGTTAAATTTGAATTTGATTTCACCTGAGTGGTTGCAGCAGTGGCTGTGCCTTCGGCTGTTCCTGTTGTCAACCAACGCACAACGTCAACAGCGACCTACGATTCTTGACTTGTTGTTGTTGCTCCTGCTTCTGCTGTTGTTGTTGTTGTTGTTGTCGCTGCCTTTCGAGGGCTGTGTAATTGATGATGTTTACGTTCGGGATCCCGGTCTCTCGTTTTGTAGACGCAGTTGATTTAAAGATTACGCACCTATTGTGTGTGGGTATCAGAGAGTGAGCTGTATGTGACCGGCATATTAATTCTGAAGTCTTAATAATTTCTAATGAGTTTATCAAATGGTTTATGGTTAAGACAAAACAACAACAACTCGAGAGGCAAAGCAATAATGCATTTATTTTCGAAATGTTTTCATGGCCTGGCATTTACATTTACATATGTATATATGAATACTATATGTATATGTATGTATATATATATATGTATATAATATGTTGGGGCTCCCTTGGAGCAACAACACAATTTGATTCGTCCAAAATGAGAGTTTTTTTTATTACAATGCACTATGGGCAAAAATACCGATAGTGCGGCATTAACTGTAAATTTAAAGATAGAGCCTTGAAATTTTACGCACACGTTAGTTTTATTAATACAAAATATCGGATTTTTTTATTTTTATTTGGGCTACGCCCTCACCCTTGTCACCATACATGTGATTTATTGACCGATGAATATCGGTACGATTGCAAGCAATTTCATAAGTATTATAAGTTTTAAATTTAATATATACTACATTTGCATTTTAGTTGGTTGATTTCTGAATAGGGAGGATAAAAGTCACATTTTTTTAAATACATAAGTTTTATTGGTTTCTTTTGATTTCTTTGAGTAAACCAAATCAGCATGTAGCAATATGAGTTTTGAATTATTGCTTTCTGAGGTAAGTTCAGAAGCTAATTTCCTCTTTAATCGGGGTCCTGCTTCGTTATAGCTTAAGGTCTTCCGACCCTCCATATTCATATTGTTGTCGTGGCAGTGTATCGTAAGCTTAACACTAGATGCTAGCCAGGGTGTATGTTTTTGCTTAAATCAATTCAGATTACGATTACATTTGCGCAAATTATATTTAATAAATGATCTAAAATTGTAGACTTTTTGCATAATAATGTCCAGTTGCACATAAGATATATTTTCGCTGTTTACATTTTTCGAAATAAAATTTCTGACAGCGCTTTCTTGCCTATTGTTGCTGTTCCAAACTTCTAGTAAACTTCACGTATGTATCTGCAACATACCACATTTGGCCAAATGGAGCAAAAAGGAGCAAAAATCCTTTATAGCATTTGATTAAGGAACGTTTAGTGAATAGGTAGCCACTTAAACATTTCATAACGGACTCTAACATTATAAGTTATCTTCCACGAAACACACAAATATTTTTAAGTATACGGCTGAAAATTCATCTAGCACCATATTGGAGTATTTCAGACTAAATCACTAGGCACAGTAAATCTTTTGATTTAGCATACCTTTGGACAAACTTTCTTTAATTAAACTTTTTCGTAAATATTAATTGCAATGGTCTTTTTTACGCCGAAAGATGGGAATTATTTCTCACACTTTTTGCAATTCACAATACAATCCTGTATCAGCTGACTTCGACAAAGCTGAAAACATTACAGACAGTCCCCAAAATTTTATAAAAACTGTTCTTACGTCTATTGGAATCTCCTTAATGAGATAAAAAAGAAAAATGCGGATTTGAGACAAACAAAATTGATGTTTATGCCGCACTATCAGTATTTTACCTAAAATAAGATAATCAACAATTAAATAATCATGCTTCTATTCTTCATTCAGTTGAGACTTCAATTATTACTTAGCTTGTATGAGGTAATTACTAGTTAACTTAAAATTAATTTTATAATATTTGATATAATATAATATTGATTTAATTTCTTATTGAACTTCAGTGTGTTAACTCTCTCTTCTTATAGTCTTCTTACTAACCAGCTGGTCTTATTCGATAGGTTATTTGTATTCATCGATATGTGGCTCACATATGCATGTATGTAAAGCTCACAAACATATGATCAGTGAACTACTACTATACAAACATATGATCAGTGAACTACATGTACACAAAGTTTACATATATAGATATGTATTTATATATAGATATTTAGATATGTATAAAAATACATATATTTAAGTCCACATTTTAATTTGTGCACAGCAATTGAAATTGCTATTTCGGAAGTTTACGAATTTTTTTATTTTTTTATTCAGTCGAACTCAATCAATTTGTTCTTATTTATATAGCCAGACTAAGTTAAAAAATTTTTTAATTTTGTAAATTCGCGGGATATTTAAATTTAGCACCGAAGTGTGGTCTGGAGAGTTGCCATAATGTTTAAATCGCTACTCAGACTTGTTTTATTTATATTTTTAATGCATCTTGTTTATATGAATCCCCGCTGACACTATCAGTAAATACGATTTGCTAACTGATTGTGCATTTACAAAAATAATATTATTGTATTATTATTATTTTTAAATTGAACAAGTCAGAGCCTCGATATACAGCATTGATTAGGTTTTGTTTGTTGTTGTATCTTTTCCAAAGATTTATTAGTAATATTTGCTGTATATTTGATAACATAGATAATGCTAACAAACAAGTTGTTTGCAAGTATTAATGCAAATTTTACGAATCTTATTTAATTTATTTCCAATTTGAAATTGAGAGAGCTACCAGATTGTCAAAATGAGATTAATGTTTACGTAGCGGGAACGGAATGCATGTTTCAGCGCGGCCACCATACAATGTGAGCACATTCACAATAGACGTGCTCAGTGGCAATGTGATTCATTCCGCAGCGAACCAGTTCAGTTGTCGCCAGTTCTTTGCCAATCAATTCACGGGTCGTGTTTGTTTTAAGTTAAAATAAGTGGATAAATAGCAATAATAAATAAGTAACAGCATAAAGCGAATGTGTGCAACTATCAAGGCAACTTCTAGCGGCAACATAAGATAAATATATTGGATATGCCACAAAATATAAAGCAAAATTTTACGCAAATTTCGGTTGTTCGGCGCTGAGATTGGAGGGGTTTGTACCTAAGCGAACACATCAAATGTATGCGGGTGTGTTACTTTGTGTGTGTGTGATTCTACGCCCCTTAGTTGATGTAGGTGAGGGGGAGGTAATATCAGCAAGAGCAGCGGCAGCGGCAGCGGCTGAGCAATGCAAATCCTTTGTAAAAATACTCGACAAAGAATCAATTTCTTAATTGTGAGGCGGTGGCACTTGTCGCGAGAAGACGTTCCTGTAACCATGTGTGTGTGTCTGTGCGTGTGTGTGTGTGCATGTGTAAATGTGTGGTAAGGTCGCCCAGTTGAAAGTGTCAAGGAATTTTACAACAACGGTAACGGCGGCGGCAGCAAAGGCACTCACGAGCAAGGTAAAACCTTCGCCCGAGACCGAGCCATAAGCCCCGAGCCATACCGCGCCCAATGCGCGCTCTGACATTTAGCATATATATATATATATATATACCATATATATATGTGTACATGTATCCTGGTCAGGCTGATCCTACCTTCCGTGAGAGCAAAGTGCAGTTCTTGTTAAATTGTTGCATTTCAGGAATTTAACAAATGTGTATGTCCCGGATATCCAGTCGCATTGCTTACATTACTATTACATTTTTAAGATTTTTACACGAACTTCGCCTTGCGCCTGCGCTCCTCTCTCTCTCTTTCGCTCGCTCTCTCTCTGTCTGTCTTAGGGAATCGGCTACTCGCTTTCACTCTTACTCTTGTAGTTTGGAGTACCATCAAAAAAGTGTGTTTCGACTTCTAGTGTCCTCTGTCCATGATAAAAACTACTATTATATGCTAAAAACTAGAAGAAGAATCTGAAGGCAAAGAAGATGAAGACAAACAAGGTAAAGGAAAACTCGTGCAAGCATTTAACAGCCATTGTGCTTCTGGGCACTTGCTAGCCACCCAACGAGGTTGGCCAGCAGTGTAAGGCCGAGTGTCTTGTTTACCGGGCGGACCACAGGCAACCATTTCCGATTCAAAATTCAAATCGTTTACTGTTCAGCCAGCTGACAGTGAAACTTCCTCTTCTGGTCAGTGGCCCATTCAGAGAACACAATTTCGAGCATTTTGCGGCTGTAATTGATTTGGGTTGTCTGGACACTTGGGCACTTGGCCACCTGTGATTGACACATCTGCATGGTATGACGAATGCCTATTTTTATTTCTGTTTTTTTCTTCTTCTTCTTCTCCCTCTTCTGTCTTCTGTCCACGTTACTTACATTAACAACTTTTTTGTGTAATTTTTTAGCTACATGCGACGAAATGAGTGTTTAGCATCAGCGTAGCAACAACAACGACAACAATCAATAACAACGAAGCAACAATTGCAACAACAGCAAGAACAAGAACAGACACACACACACACATACGCTCACGCACACGCATACTAACAGTTTGCTACTCGGAGGAAAGACGTAAAGTTCATTGAAGTTTTTGGAGGTGGACGCAAGCACCAACTGTTGTTTGACCAGCAGCAGGAGCAGGAGCAGGAGCAGAAGGAGAAGCAACACCCGGGAACATCAGTAGCAACAGCAGCCGCCGTGGTGCAGCTCATCAATATTCCAAAAAGCAATTGAGCCAGGCGGGCACAGGCATTAATTCATCAATTATTCAAAATGACCGAAGACGAAATTCTCTTTGACGATGTTTACGAACTGTGCGAGGTCATTGGCAAGTGAGTTCCGTTTGCTCCCTATTCTTTCATTTTGTTGCCTTGGCTGCCATATCTCATTATGTGCTGCACGCACTAAATCATCTGTCGACGCCTCAAATGGGGGCAACAGCTTTCAATACAAAACTTGGCTAACATCAAACTTGCCTCAAAACTTGTGCAAGCAACAACAAGTTTTTCGGTGTCCATTCTTACATTATACATTAATATTTATGTGCTGCTCGTTTAGTTGAACTAAGTAGAGCGAAGCGTTGCTAGTTGTGATATGAATATGAAAGCTTTTGCCTGCTTTTTATGGCAGACAGTTTGCAAGCCTTTTGCGGCCTGATAAGGTCAGCACGGACATTTGAAATCAGTTGGTAACTTTTACTAAACATATCTCTATATCTATATATATACATATGCATGTATATTATACTGCCACATTCTATACATTCCACAGAGGACCCTTCTCCATTGTGCGCCGCTGCATACATAGAGAGTCCAATCAGCAGTTTGCTGTCAAAATTGTTGATGTGGCCAAGTTTACGGCAAGCCCAGGACTGAGCACAGCTGGTAAGTTTGAGCGACGACCTTGCCCCAGGCGAATCACCCGAGGTACTTTGGCTGAATAAATTATAATTAAGCTGCGCGAATTATATGAAATATTTTGCTACTAATTGTGCGGTAACAACGAAACACAATTTGGCACGTGCCGCCCACTTTTGCCCACATTACAGATGCTGCGAGTCAGTCCCCCCCGCCAACACAGGCTCAAGTCTTAGCCCAGTCCATGGGCCAATTAAAAAGAAATTGCTCAAATGCAGTGGCGCCTGGACTCGGATATTGACTAAATGATACATGGCAAGCACATAAGTCAGCTCTAAATCCATTAGGACTTTCGTCCTTTCCAGCTTGTCTCAGACCCAAACAAGGACGTTGGCTGGGCGCCTTGTTGCTGTGTCAGCCGCGCGGGACAGCCATACAAATGTTACCCATTCTAATATGAACTAATTGCGTGTCATTACAGATCTGAAACGCGAAGCCACAATATGTCACATGCTGAAGCATCCGCACATAGTCGAGCTGCTGGAAACCTACAGTTCCGAGGGCATGCTCTACATGGTGTTTGAGTTGTAAGTAACACTCACCCACATACATATCCAGGCTCAATTCGCCACACATATATATTTGATATATATATATATATATATATATATATATATATACATTTGGATGTAGGCCACTTAAATATTTCGTTTTCTCTCTCTTGCAGCATGGAGGGCTCCGACTTGTGCTTTGAGGTTGTGCGGCGCGCTGTGGCGGGCTTCGTCTACAGCGAGGCGGTGGCTTGGTGAGCATGCCTATATTTATAGAATTATGACACCAGTTTTTCTGCCAAATCCCAAGTACATGGGTTGCTCATAACAAAAGAACATTTATATTAGGACAATCGATTAATATTTAAATGGAATGCTAAGCAACAGTGTCTTAGACCAGATTGCGCGTTTAATTATTAACTGTCTTGCAATATTAATTTACTGTCATTATCATGTATTTTTATAAAACATTGCAAGCTATAATTTTAAATCGATCCGTCCAAGCAAAATATAACTGCTTAATGTAAATTTTGTATACGAATATTTTTATAAGTTTAGTGAATCAGATTAGTTGTGTAAAAGCATATATATTTAAGCATATGTTATGTCAGTGTAAAAAGCTTAAATAAGTTCAAAGGTTTTGTTTATACATCGCACATGAAGGATAACATTAATATAGGAGTTAGTTGAAAGGTACAAAACAAATAGGGCCAGTTTTGTCAGCTCAATCACTCAAACTCCACAAGTGAAGATAAATATGTATATCATTATATCATATTAATTTCATACTATTTAACTTTTGTACATCAGATTATGTATTCTGATTACCGTCTACCTATCAATCATATATGAGCTGAGCGAAATGCTCGATCTAATTGAGGATTTTTGTTAGCAATATGAATAATTTTAATTAATCCAAATTTAAGTCGTACTCATTCATATATTCTAGATAACCGTTTAACTGTCTAGCATATATGAGCTGAGCAAAATGTCCGCACTAATTAAGGACTTTCGTTAGCAATATGAACAATTTTAATTAATCTCTATACATTCTTATTGCCAACAGTCATTATATGCGCCAGATATTGGAGGCGTTACGATATTGCCATGAGAACGATATACTACATAGAGATGTGAGACCCGCTTGTGCACTTTTGGCGACAGTGGATAACTCGGCGCCAGTGAAGCTGGGGGGCTTCGGCTCGGCGATACAGTTGCCGGGCACACGGGAAACCATAGAAACACATGGTCGCGTCGGCTGTCCGCACTATATGGCGCCGGAGGTGGTCACAAGGCGTCTGTATGGCAAGGGCTGCGATGTTTGGGGTGCTGGTGTAATGCTGCACGTTCTGCTCTCGGGGCGGCTGCCGTTTTTGGGCTCTGGTGTTCGACTGCAGCAGTCGATAGCACGCGGAAGGTTATCGGTAAGTGTCTACGGGCAATTATGATTAATTGTTTATTAATTGCTGCTTTTGTTCGCTTGCAGTTTGAGGCACCAGAGTGGAAATCTATTTCGGCCAATGCAAAGGATCTAGTCATGAAAATGCTCGCTGCAAATCCACATCACAGACTATCTATAACCGAGGTGCTAGAGCATCCCTGGATACGTGATCGCGACAAATTACAGCGCACGCATCTGGCGGAGACAGTTGAGGAATTGAAGCGCTATAATGCGCGACGCAAGCTTAAAGGCGCTGTCCAGGCAATTGCTGGGGGCACTAACATGGATCCATTGTATTCAACGGATGCGGATAGTAAGTCTTGGCCAATGCAATTCAGATGCAATAGCTGTAATTCTTAATCTATCATTTATTGCAGTGCCCATTGCTGGTGCTCCGGATGAATGGGCAGACGAAGAGGCGGGGATTGAGGCGGTTCAGCGTATATTGGACTGCCTGGATGACATATATTCACTGCAGGACGCGCATGTGGATGCGGATGTGTTACGCGATATGCTACGAGATGTTCGCCTACAGCAGTTTCTCCAACTTTTCGATCGCATCAGCTCCACGGTCATCACGACAAATGGCCGGGCGCCTAGCGCCGAGGCTGTTGCGCGCAGTCGCGATGTCCTGGAGCAGTTGTCTTCGGTTGGCGTCAGTGCTGGCAATAAGTATGCCAAGGATGAGCTGATGCAGCTGCTCGCATCGCCGCATATGCAGGTGAGTTTTTCATTATATTTCATTTAACCTTGTGCTTTCATAAATATAATTAAGTATGTATTGTGGCTACATTTTGAGGCAAGCTGTGAGCTCAGGGAATTGGGATTCTTTACATTGTTGCACTGTTTGTATGCCAGAGGCAACTGTCAGTAGCACGAGATGTGGTTATATCAATCTGCGGTCCACTTTATAGTTCGGTTTAGCATAAGCCAAAACAAATTGGAAATGTATTTAGTGCTAGTAAACAAAAGCAGTGGTAAATGCTCACACACACAGAGACCACCACCACCACCACCACCAACAGCACCACCACTAACACTATCAACTTCCGGAGGGCTGTCTCTATTTGTCGCACTCAGTCACTAATCCCTCACACACATACTGGCACACACGTACTACTATGTGTGTCCACTCTTAGTTATACAGTGTACACACAATACATAGGCAAACAGAGTGCGCCAGCTAATGCAGCCCAAAATACAAACAATTTAATCAGAATAAAACCAAACGAAATTCGGACATTGCTGCCGCTGCTGATGCTGGCTCAACGGTATCAAATTCAGCTCTAGCATCAGCGACAGGCTTCTCCCCAAAGGTTTTCTGCCCTGAGAAGTATGCAACAGAACTTAAGTGCTGCAGACGTGGTAGGTGTGTGCCACATATTCGCAGCAGCAGGCCAGCAGAAAAACATTTAACGATTGTGAAAAAATGGTTTACTGCTGACACTGTAACATAGCGAACATTAAATACACTAACTGTATCGTATAAACATTTTAGGGAATACAATTTACTATAATTATGCAAATGATTATTGCTTATTTGCATCTTTGCTTGGAGTATTCGAATTATTTTCATTTTTCTGTTATTTAGCTCGATGTGCATATTGTATTAGATATTAGATATTTCTGTTTCTATGCAGGGTAAATCAATGCAGAGTTTTTTCAACATTGTTTGCCATGCCCAGTGCCTGAATATGTGTGATATGAGAGCTATTACTCTACTCTCTGCTGTCCTCTGTCGTTAATTGCTCCTTGAAGCAGACTACACTCTTTGCTGCCGAGCGGCGATGCTTTATTCTTTTCATACCCTGTGCTTACAAGGTACATACAAAGGCATTGAAGCAGCTTAACTATCCTAATCGTAATCGATATACTCAAGCATTTTAAATAATTTATATAGTATTAGGTTAGTATTAAATGTATTAAATATTTCACTTTGGGTGGCATTGGGTTGAATGATTTAGAATTATTGTTGATTGCATAAAACAAATTTATTTTAAATTTTGTTGATTTAACTCGAAGTAGCCGGATGTCTTATTTAACATATTTTATTTAAAATATTATTTTGCTACAAGTCCTAGCAAGTCTGAATTAAAAATAAAATAGGGTATAATTATTTTACATTTTTATTTAACTGAGATTAATAATAAAATTGAATTAATCAATTAAATTAATTTATATTTAAATTCTTGCTGCGATGTCAGTTATTTGAGGAATTTAATTTGTTTATTTTTTTTAGAAATATATTTATGAATATTAATTTGGGACTTTTTTGGCTTATGCTTTTTTTCACTCGTGTTGAATATTTGAACAATTAAATCTCTTAACAGAAATTAATTTAAAGCAATAAAATAGTTGTGTTTAAAATCGTGATCACAGGATATTTAGGCTTTCAAACCCTAGACGGATAGTTCGTTTTAAGTTGCACTGGATCCCCGGACAGTTTGTCCGTCCAGGCCAACCGACTATCAGACGCTTTGTTTCTGACGCAAGCTGAGCTCGTGTGGCAGCGACTCATTTTCATAAATTCACGACAACAACAAAAAAAATAGAAGAAGAAGAAGAAAAATGAAATAGATGGATAAAAATGACAGACGATATGAGCAACTGAATAAACGCAGCCCCAACGAGCACTGAGCAACTGTGTTAATGCTGTATACCACGCACACATCCAATCGGAGAGCAGAGTGAGAACTGTGCTCAGGGTGTTGGATGTCGGGTAGGCGTAGGTAAAAAAAAGGGAAAAAGAAAAAACTGAAGAAACAGAGCAACAACTATTGTGGGACCTCGGTTGCAGTCCAAACAACCGCTGCAAATCTCACTCTCTCACTCTCTGACTCTCTGCTCATGGGCGCTGCAAAGTGCAGCGAGTGTTCTGCTGCTGCAGCCGATGCTGTCGCATGAGCAGGAGTAGGAGCAGAGCAGTGCACGTACATATACTAATGCATATGCATTTGTGTATTTGCATTCATACACACACATGTGTCCAAGTGTGTGTGTGCCTGTGTTATGTGTGACAATGCGAGTGTGTGCGTAGCACTAACCAACCGAGCATTCGTGATTGACTTAAACAAAAAGCGCGCACAAATTTCTGTTTAGTTTGCGGCGCAGTCGCCGCGAGGGAACGACGACAACAACAGAGCAGCGCAAGGCGACGTACGGCAGGCAACGCGAGGCAGGGCAAGGCAAGGCAAGGCGAGGCGAGGCACGACGCGGCACGGTACGGCACGGCACGGTACGGCAGCGCCTCCAGTTGGATTTATTTGACACTTGCCAAGTGATGTGTAAAAGAGGCGCCTAACGAGCGATTTCGCGTCAGTCTGCCAGTCTGCGCCCACGCCATTGGCGACCCGACCCCAAAAGGGTTAGCAGCTGGGCTAAACAAAGCTCTGGGAATTGTGGGGCGAAACCTTCGTCTTCGTCAAGTCAAGTTAAGTTTACTCGAGTCTATTTCTCAAGTGAGTCACTCCGCGCCGCGCTCTGCTCGCTTGACCCAATTAACAGGACGCGGACGCGTTCGCGGATGTGGATGTGGATTCAAACGCAAATGCGAAGTTGTCTCTGGAGTGGATAGTGTCGTGTCAGTGTGCCAATTACGCGCGAATTTCCGCAGTAACCTCCGGCGCATAGCGAACAGAACGACGACAGCCACAGGCAGAGGTGCAGACACTGGCACCGCCACTGGCACATGCATAGGCACCTCCACGCCTGTAGCCAAGCTTACAGCCACGTGTTTGGCGGCAAAACCCACATGGGAGCAATTGACAAAAGGGCAACCGCTGTCATTGGCGACGTTATGCTGCCGACCCCCGCCATGTGGCGCTGGGAGTTGGTTTGGGGCCGCGCCATGGCGTTGCTCATAAATTGACAGACAACAACAAAATGGTGCTGCGGCAGCATCGATTGCGCGTCTATAACTCAATTTAAATTCAAATGTGTGCCACTATAACAAAATATAATAAAGAAAAATAAAAGGAAAGAAAAAAAGGTGAACAAATTATAAAACGGAGGCCAATATCGGGCCAAGTTAACGAAATTAGCATATTACTTTAGAATGGCGGATGGGGTCTTGGTGGAGGATGAGGATGATGTTTGCTGCTGCTGCGATAACACATCCATAACAACTGCAACAACAATAACAGCGGCAACAGCACAAGCAACAGCAACAGCAACAACAACACCATCAACAACAACAACAACACCAACGCCACAATACAGTGTATTTCAGTGGATCGGACTCGAGACGGCTGAGCTTTTGCCTCCCCACATAACGCGCTACTACAATAACCTTCATCACCAGGTAAATTTTATTACAGCCGCCGATGCGGCAGTTGTAGACATCAATGCTGAAATTATGATTCTTGATTACACGGTTAGTTTGCTGAAGTTTGAAGAATTTCTTCGACATCATCAGCCTCATAAAATTTGTTTATTGAATGCAGCAAAATAAATGAATAATAATGTTTAGCAATAGCATAGGAATTTTGTTCAATTTACATTTAATTGAATACAATTTTTTTTAAATTTTAATTGGAGATTATGTTTTTATTGTACTAGAATATTGGCTTGGCTTAAAGCAATTTGTTTTATTTATTTAGCCAGGCCTTGTTTAGGGCTTAGTTTGATAATGCACCACAGCCAAATATTTGGTGAACGAACAAATGGCTGAGAGTTTGTTTGAAATCTGTATTTCAAGCTATATAAATATATATATACATATCTACATATATATGTCAATTCTTAAGCTAGTGCGAACGTTATTTAAAACTCAACGAAAATAAATTTTTCTCTGCAAGAGCTACAAAATTTTAGATTCAGTGTGTATATTTTACTCTCTCAGTTTTTATATTCTTTTAAAGAATTTAAAGAGTGTTGTATTCTCTTTTTGGTTTTTGGCTTGTTAGATTTAACACTATTTGATTCAACAATATTTGAGCATAGACAATGTGAATTGCTGCGCTTGATTGATGCGTGCTGAATTGGTATATTCGGAATTTGCGATACATTTAGACCACTTTAATCGTTGTATATAGTGACTGTACTGAATTTGATTGAAACGGACATTCAGTGGACTCCATAACGTGCAGATAGGCATTCATGTCCATTAATGCAGCATCTATCTACCAATTTCTAGGTAACAACATATCATTTTGACAGGCGAATCGGGCCGCTTATTCAATTTCGCAGGTGGCCCGCGAGCTATCGGTTTGAAAATTGGCTCTGTTGGTGGTCCTTGTGTCCTGCTGAAACCAGATATCATCGGTGTCATTCTTCCTAATTAACACTGACCATAACGATACCGAATTCGCTAATGAAGTCACATGAGCGAAATGCCCCCAAAAAAAAAAAAACACGTCGCGACGTGAGCATTTTCGACCCCCAATGCATTCCGTTTCAGCAGGCTCACTAGTTGAAAATGAGGCATACATTGAAAACAGAAACAGAACCAGAAATTCATGAAATTCTTTACCGCTGGCGAGCGGATATGGATGGATTTCGTTCATTGCAGCAACTTGCATTGGCCAATATCGAATTTGTTTGTGGAAAATGCTTCAAAAATTCGTTCATTTGCTGCTGACAAGGATTGCTTGCGTAAACGGCATTTGGTTTCTCTTCAAGTAAAATTTGTTCCAAAAATATTCCAATTTTGTTCATCGCTTATAAATATTTTTAAGCGACGTCGAAAAATAATCGATAGTAAAAATTGCAAAGGATGAATTTCCAACCCTTTTTCATGCCATACAAAATCCAGTTATGAACCTTTCGTAAATATAAGACTGTAAATTACGAAATTAATACACATACACATACATAAGGGTTAAGGGCATAAGGGTTAAGGGAAATCCAAGCGATACTTTAAAGAGAATTATCTGTAAGATATTTGGAAATTTTTATATACTGCCGCGTATGTGTGCATTTTGAGTCTGTCTGAGAGGAAGCTTAAGTATTTGTGACTCCATCTCGATTCATCTATAATTTAATTTGAGCTCTTTCTACTAAATGACTTTGGCTTGTTCTGCTAATGAACTCATGCCGCCTAATGTTAGTCCGTTTCCCAAACCTTTAGCATAATAGATTTTGTTTCCTCACATTGATGCAATTTGCTGAATCAATGATTGCAGTGGCCTTAAGAATATTATTATTACTTCTCCATCAATTGTTTAGCAAAATAAGGAATAATTAAGAAAATAAAAATCAACTAAAGTAATTGCAAATATATGAATTTAATTCGATTGTAAATTTGCAGCATGACGAAGCTAATTCGCAAACTAACTAGTCAAATTAATATTTACTCAGACGCACACGTTGTCTGTGAAGCTCATTTGGGCTATTCATTGCCTCGAACGTAACTCGAAATTTATTCAATTGTGTATTGAATAACGGATTGCAACACCGTCTATTGTCCTTTAGCTAAGGACATATTATTGCTACAAAACAATTTTACCATGACTATTGAATTTGCATTAATAACTTCGCTTCAAGCTTCAACTACTGTGCTCAATGTGCCTTTGACTTGTTTGTGATTTGGCAAATTCACACAAAGCATGTGACTGTATACAAATACATATATATACGTGTTTCTGTGTGTTTGTATGCTTGTGAGCCGACAACTAAACGTGTCAACAAGCATGCAGGCTAACTGGCAGCCCAGTTCAGCAGCTGCAGCCACCTGAACAGAATTGGCCCGGACACAAACCACGTTGTGGCCCAGCCCGATCCGACCCGGCCCGGCCCACTGACATATTAGGCGTACTCCTTTTGGCCACACACATAAATGTCGGAATGGCTAAAGTGTGCAGCCTGTTGTTGATGCGGCGAGTAAATGTTGTTGCCACTTCGATAAAATGACAAATTCGTTGCCAAATTGCTCTTTGACTAAACGACTGCGCAATAGAGACAGCGATAGAGACTGTGACAACGACAACGACAACGACAACGACAACCACAGCAACAACAACAACAACAACAATCTGCAATAGGAACAACAAATTGTTTTATGTTAATAGTTTATTGGCTGATACTCTCGATGCCGTTACAGCTAGTAGAACATGTGATTCAGGCCTTGACCTACACTATGGAATTAGATGTGCCTTGGCAGGGCAGTGCAGGGCAGCGCTGGATAGGGGAGGGCAGGGCGGTGCACGGTTTACTACCCGCGCCTCCATTGAGACCTTGGCGCGAAATGCATTCCGAATCGTTGTCGTAGCACTTGACGGGATTGCAGCACGCCGTGCACTCTATTGTGCATTAATTAAAAGCCTGTTATGTTTCGCATTAAACGTGACAGCGTTTGTGAGAAATAGCAGCAGGGACATCGTCAGCAGTGACTGGAACAGGGACAGCGACACGGACAGGGAGCTGGGAGCAGAGACTGGGAGATCTGTCCTCGACAGGGGCAAAGGCGTGCCAATGTTGTCCTTGTTTATCAATCGATTGTCTGTCTGCAGGCCTTGGAGCGCATGCATTTCATAATTATTTGTCAGTGCCTCAGCACAGATTCCATAACTTGGAGGAACATAAGCTCCCTAGCTGGCCTTCCCCTCGATGTCTGCCTTGTACTCTGTGTTTGCACATTCTTGCCAACTGGGCCGCTTACACACAAGTAATTAGGTTGTGGCTTCGGCATTCTTTCCTTTTGGTCATGATTCCTTTGGCGCAAACCCGCATGCGGTTGTCAAATAAGCAGTGGGCATAGCTATCTGTGTACAAGAATTTCTCTCTATGTGTGTGTGTGTGTCTTTGTGTGTGTGAGTGTGGACACAAGTCACCTACTTTAGTTTGGACTATGGGCGAGCGATGGCATGATTTAGCAATGCGACCACAGCAGCAACTATCAGCAGCAGCAGCAGCAGCAACTCCGTAGTTGATGATGATGTTGATGATGATGATTATGGGAGAGCGCCGGTGATGATTGGGTTAACGACTACGTGGCGCAGACATTGCGCCATAAATTACGAATATTTTTGCAAGCCCTTAGCGCTGCTTGCTGCTGTTGCTACTGTTAGACAAATATCAGCGCTGCTAGCGTCCGCATTGACTGAGACGCCGGCAGCGCTGCTGGCAGCTTTGAGCATGTGCCTGTAGTAAGAATTGCTTGGCCAGCCTAAAATTTTTCGTTCTACCAGTGCGCATGTCCTGCACAGCATCCTGTACAGATTCAGCAACAGCAGCAGCAGCCAGAGCTGTGGCAGCAAGAGAAGCAAAAGCAGCACGAGTAGCAGCAGCAGCGACAGCGGCTGCGGCAGCGTCGCCAGCAACACACCACCAAGCAGCCAGCCGCCCACAGACAGCCAGCCAGCCTCAAATCGCCAATATAGTCATCTCTTTCGCACGCATTGAAATGGCACATAAAGCTGCCATCTGCACCGGAAATTGATTGCTAGGTGAAAAACTGAAGCTGCGGCTGCTCTGCTGCTGCTGCTGTTGACGCTGGCTGCATTCAGCTGCGAGAGCTAAGCAGTTGGCAGCATTGTTGAATTGCTGCTGATAACTCGGAGTTTAGTCTATAATTGTGCACCTTGCTGGCTGGAACTGTGGCAGTGTAACGCGAGCCCTAGTCTGGATAGGACGGGTACACAACAACAGCAGTAGTAGTGACAGCAGCAGCAGCAGCAGCAGCAGCAACATTCAGTACGGCTTTAACAACGTTGACGCTTACTGCACACACACACACACACACATATATACGCAGTCACTCACATATACCAGCTAGTGTGAGTGTGAGCCACATATATCGGGCTCATCCTCGTCGCTGTCGTCGTTGTTGTTGCTGTTGTTGTATTCGCTGCCATACGGCGCAAGCCAGTGCAAAAAAAAAAAGAAAAGAAGAATGAAATAAAGAAAACCCGAAATAAAAAGAAATGAAATCAGTGAAGCTATAAGCGCAAATGTACGACACATAAGAAGAGAAACGAAACTTTTTAATTTTAAAAGCAAGTGCTCGAAAACTTTTAAGGCCCAGCTCAGAAATAGTTTGCCAACTGCCGGCGCACAAAAGTGGGCCATGAAAATTTGTGGCCTTTTGTGAAGCTAAGACGGGCCAAGGCAACATAAAACATGAAAAAAGTTAGACACAAATTGATTTTTAGTCACGCCACATGCTCAAAAACGGGAAAATAAAGTCAAGAAAAATCAGTACACATGCACACACATTTATGCGTTAACATCACGCACACACACATACACACATGTATTCTTTTAGCGACTTTTTCGTGCCATTGAATTTAAGCTCGCTGCGGGCTGCTGATTTTTTGCATATTGGTTCGAGGCGGACTCACACACACACACACAGGCACACACGCACACACGCATAGAAATTTCAGTGTGTATGTGGGAGTTGGTCGTACGCGCTGGCAAAGCACGAGAGTCTCAGGCGAAGCAACGAGCTATGTGTGCTGCTCTCGTGCCGTTGTCGTTGTCGTTGTCGTTGTCGTTGTCGTTGCCGTTGTCGTTGTCATTGACGGCGGTGGCTTCGTGCCTTCGAAGCAACAACCGCAGTGCCTCTAGTTTCCATTGCTTGCCGTGGCGTAGCATCTCGTGGCGTGGGCAACGAACCGAGCCAGCAATCGAGCCACGAGCATTTCCAAAATCGATTTGACCAAAATTATTATCAATGATTTCGCAAACGACAAGCGAACGCGTTACAAATTGAATTAAATTAATCTGATTTCATGTTTCGTGTTTATCTTCACGCCCATGTGGCCGACGTGTTTTTCTGTTTATGTGTAGAGGTGCGTGTGTGAGTGTGTGTGTGTGTGTGTGTGTGTGTGCGTGTATGTGTGTGTGTGTGTGTGTGTGCTTGTGCTTGTGCGCGGTTTGTCTGGCCTTACGGAAATTGAATAAACTGTGACAGCTGGCTTATCAATTTATGGTCTGTAGCTGCAGCAAGTGCTTTTGACTGTTTGTTTAGATGAGTGCAAGAGATCAACCCTCAATACCAAGAAAAAAAAAACAGTCTTCGTTTATTTTCATTATTGATTTCGGCTCACAGACACACAAACAACAACAACAATATTAATAACAACAACAATAACAATAATAGCATCAACAGCAACAGCAACTAGAACTGGAACTGCTTACAATAAAATTAAATTACAGCAATAACAACAATAATAATAAAAACAAGAACAAAAATAACAACAACAACTTAACGATTTAGATGCATACAAGAACAAATACAGGCACAATAAAAACAACTTCAACTACATCTACAACTTTGCAGTAAGTATGAGCAGGATAGCGAAGCAACCTCCGTAACACCTGAAGACCCCGACCCACCTAAAGTATGCCATTTCATCTCTACACTCCACAAATTTCTTTCACTTCACTGCCTCAGCTCAAGCACAGCAGCTAACCACCACCCACCGTCGTCGTTCGCCCTATGCCTTCTATTTTCCACCTCCGTTTCCTATGCCATTTCCGTCTACTTTTGCCTTATCAAAAATGTGTGTGTATATACACACGCAAACACACACACACACACGCACAGCCACATAGTTGCAAAGAGAAAGAGAGCATTGCACCAATACATAGATAATGTTTGGTATCATTTACTTGGCCCCCGTCCAACTGCAGTATCCATTGACTCCCACACAGAGAGACCACTCGCTGTACAGACTTCAGATTCCGACTTTCAAGATTCTGATCCTCCCTCCGCCAGCCCATCCGCCTGTTTATTGGCTTCAGCAACATTTCTCTGTGCTGCTGTTGTTGTTGTCGTTTTTCGCTTAGTTGCGGCCGTTGTATATGAAAATTTCTCTCTCTGTCTCTATATATCTGTATATATCGCCTTTTTTCTGTTTCACTTTTTCGCCTTTTTGTTGTTGTTGTTTTGAATATTTTATGAATTGAATTTCGTTATTTTGTTCGCGTATGTTGCGCTGCAAAGTTGCGTCTGTTGGTGGCCTTTGGGCCCACGCCTAACTCCCAGCATTCCCAGGCCAACGCGCAAAGCTCAGCACGTTCTCATTCAATTATGGTGCGGAAGCGCCAAGGCAACATTAGCATTCTTAAAATGTGGCAGCGGAAACTGACGAAACAAACATTTCAGCACCTTTGTGTCCCTTATACAAATACCTTTACCTGTGCCTTTGTGCCATACACCCTTACCTGCCTCCTATCAGTCTGTCCGTACGCCTGCTTGCATTGCCTATTAAAATACACATTTAAAAACATATTATTAAAGCGTTCGCAATTTCTTTATAATTTAATTCGACACTCGTGCTCCTCCTTGACTCCTTCGAGCTTCGACTCAAACTATGTATTTAACATAAACAGTCTCGCACTGCTGCCATCGTTATTATATACAGTAGTCGCCGGGGAATTCGAGTTCGCTCAAGTTTTAAAATACATATATATATTTGCTGCTTGCCTTTCTTTTTCGGTGCCTTTCGGCCGAACTTTTTCCCTTTGCTGGCCGTTGGGCCAATTTAGAAAGCGTCCCTCCCATGGGCATTTTTCTATTTCTGCTTTTTTTTGTTTTTTATCTGTTAGGCGCATAAAATTATATTTTTGTTGGCTAGGCAGTCTTCTGTAATTTGGCCGTTTGGTTTAATTAAAAGTCTCAATTGGCCTGTGGATGAAAATATACACATTTTCATTCAATGCAAGCGCTCGACTGCCTTATTCAAATGTCAGTCTTCTACTCTATCAACTGTGCTTATTATTTGTAAAATTTTCTGTACATGCCTATTTTTCCTACATTCATATATTGTACATATTTAAGTTGCTGTGCTGAGCTGAGCTATGAACAACAGTGCCAGTAGAGTCAATTAGTTTAGCTTAACTAGTTAGTACCTCCTCTCACAATTCCATAATTCCACAATTTCCCATTTTCCACAAGTCCCTCTATAGATTTTATTTATTTTGGGCTTATCAACGATTTTCTTTTGCAGAACTCGCATGCTAAATAAAAATTTAACCAAAAAGGCAACTCAAAATTTGAAACTAAATTCAGCTAAACAAAAATTAATAGTGAACTTTACACACTTGTAAAAATTTAAAACACAGCAACTAAAAACATAAAGATTAATAATACCAATAATAAACACGATTGTGATTCATCATAACTGAAAGCTGCATAACTAAAAACCAAGCATTTTAATAAAAATCAACCAACATAATTTAAACATATAAAGCAACAAGGGAAAAAGCAAAACATAAATCAATTAAAGGAAACAATAATTTTTTAAAAAGAAGTCGACACCAAGTCTACACTGCAGGGCGCATATAAATTATTACAGCATACTTCCACACACCCACACACACACACACACATATATATGTATATACATATATTCTTATGGACTATATATAGTATAATATAGTTCTACATGCACACAAGCACAGTGCGAGTTGAGGAACTTAAGTGCTACCGAAGCGAGAGCAACAGGAACAAGAACTGGAAAATGCAGAATAGTTTCAATAGTTGTAAACTGAATCCACAATCGGAATCCACGATACGATATTAATAGTTGTTAATAGTTAATTGTTGTTCTTGTTAGTTATCGCTGCGATTGAGTAATTCAGTGAAGAATAGCTCTATACGTATTGAGATATTAGAGGAGATACGCAAATAACTGTGAATAGAGCAGGAAATGCAAGAGGAGCTGCACAAGCTAACGAAGAGCCACCACAACAAACAGAAGCAGAAGCACAAGCACAAGCACAGAAGGAGCATATCAGCTGGCTAACGGACTTGGCCCAGGGGAGCAGATAAAACAACATTTACTCGCGTCAATCCTCATCACCGCCACTGCATCGATTGCAATGCTCTGGTAGCCAAGACAGTTTTACCGTGGATCACTACTGTGGCGGCGGCGGCGGCGGTGACTCACAGGCAGCAGCGGCAGCGGCAGCATCAGGAGCAGCAGCGGCAGCAGCGTCGACTGGTCAATGGTCAGCAGCGGGCGTGACAGCATCCGGCGGCGTCGGCATGTGCCAGCATCATGGGCTCACATCACAGTCGTTGATGTCCGGTGGCTGTGGCTCGCACATGTCACTATTGGGCGGCGGCGGCAGCAGTGGCAGCAGCGGCATGAGCGGCAGCGGTGTCGGCAGCAGTGGCCAGGGCATACCAGTGGCCCAATGCTCCGCTGCTGATGTTGCCATGCTGTCGGGCCACTGCCGCAGCATGAGCGGGCTCAGTTCGTTAAGTATGTCAGCGCCGCCCTGCCCGCCGCCGCCGGCGCTGTTTAATCCCTGCAGTTCAGCGTTGTCCCTTCAGCAGGCGGTCACCTCGCGCTGGGGACCGCGCACCTCCTGCCCCGTGCATAGTCCGTTTCGTGTGCGTGTACCCAATGGCTCCATATGCTCCGGACATCAGGTGAGCCACACACACACACAAACACACACCCTCTCGCAGCGACTGCCAAGGAGTGTGGGACATTTGTACATGCCATATATATATATATACGTATATACTAGAGACTGTGTCTAAAAATCCGTTAACTAATTGCATTCACCTAAAAAAGCAGCCACAGCTTGCCACAAAATGTTTTGCGCCTTTGAGTTTCATTTCGTATTTAAATTGCTTTAGAAGCCATATGTAGATGCATACATATGTATGTTTGTAAAACAACATAGCTATACGATATGTCATTTCTTTCATTCTTTTTTGTTTTTGATCCTTGTTTTTGTTGTGTTTATATGCGTGTGTGTACCCAACTGCTTACACAACAACGTATTCTGTTCTATTCTCTTCCCACTCGCACGCTTCACTGTTTGCTTGGACCTGGACCCGTAAACAGGTAAGCAAATCCGTACCGGAAACCAAGTGCCCAACACATTTGGGCAACAGCCGAAAATGTGTCAACGACATGTAAGATTAATTCATTTGGCTGACCCACGCGCAGACACATAAAACTCCAAGCCACAAGAGGCAAACACTGCCATGCAAACACTCAGACACAGATACACATACATATATACATGCACACAGACACATAGACACATAGACACATAGAACGTTGTCACACGGGTCGCTCAATACTTTTTGCAAACATTTATAATGGGACGTTATAATAGAATGTGTATTGTATATTATTATATTTACATAAGTATCTAAAATTTACAAATCGATCTGATATGGGTGGCAGTGCTTCCATTTATATACAATTTGATGCATCTATGCTGATTTATAATAATATGATTCTATGTTTAAGCATGTGAAATACTTAATAGTGGGAATTGAATCAACCATCAATTTATTAAATTTCTTTTTCTATCAACAAACTAAGCAAACAGTTTAAGAGAGGGACACAATCGCTATTATTACTATTCACATAAAATTTCTTACCCATACGATATCATTCTCAAGTCTAATTTAAAATATAATAGATCTATAATATAAACGATCAATTTACGAAACTCTTCTTAAAGAAAAAGATAAATGAAACAGATTTTCAAACTGAACATCCATTTAATATATTACTATGAGTAAAATCGAGTAATGAAACCGGCAAGAAAATCTCGCTACTAGAATACTTAACATCCCGGCCCAATATGCCTAAATACTAATCAGGAAAATGTCCTTTTACATAGTACAAGGAACCCGCGTATATTTAGTAACTCGCATAGTTTTGCAAATTATATAGAGCTCGATTCACATGATTGCCCAAGCGTCACGCAGCGCACCCAAAGTTGGGAGGTGGGTTTCGTATCCCAAATCAGTGGCAGGCGTTGGATTTGGTTGACTGCTCCCGAAAGTAGGCAGCACAAAACGCAGAGCATAAAATAAACAATCTATATGGGCATGAAAAGAGGAACTAAAAACCAAAAGGAAAGAGCAAGAAAAAAAAATCACATTAGCTCTATGACATTATAAGGGGTCTATTAGAATAGTCGGTGCTCTGTGACAATTGCCGTTTAGCGCTGTTTCTCTGCCCGGGCGTCAAATTGAATGTCACTAATGCAATTAGTTCACACAAAATAATTCTCTTCCACTCGATTATAGCGCT